CGTAAAAATATGAAATTAGATTTTTTTGTCGGGAATTAGCGAATATTTCCTGGATGTTGACCATAAATCAATGTACCGACTCTTAATTACAATTTAGATATGAAATGAGCGCACAAACAACAATTTTGATATTTTCGGCAACGTCTTTCAATATAATTACGTCGTTCATAGACTCCGTTAAGTCAGATAAGACGATTTCATACATTTTGAATTGAAAAATCCAAAACATGGCATATCTCTTGACAATTGGAAAATCTAGACCAGAATTACAATTGTAAAGCAGATGGCCCAATAACATAACATAAACAAAGTCGCTGACGCCTTTACTGACCCTATTTTACAAAAATTCCTCTCAAAATCTAACGATTAGACGCAACCTACGGGTCATTTGACGGAACGAGCAAATCAATGGTTAAATGTAACAATTTTTTATATCCCGGACACGTCTTAAAGCAAACCATGCGAAACCGATTGCGATAAACAGTGATAAAGTTCTTATTCAGGCCCTGGCAATGTGACTAATTTACTCCAGCCGATGTCTATGAAATGAAAACAAGATTTGGCACTATACACTGAGAAAAACGGTTATTTTAAAATTATTATTTTAAAATTATAATTGTACGGTATATAGAAAAGTACTTAAGGAACGTGGAAAAATATTGTTATAAATTTGATTTATAGACCTTTGCAACGTCCTGCAGGATAAAAAGCTGCGTTCGTTGTAACCAAAACTGGAACTCAACCAAGGATTCAAAAAATCTCGATATATACAGGGTGTTCCATCTAAAATAACAAAGTTAATGTCGAAGGGGACACTTTTGGGACACCCTGTATCAACAAAATTATAATATTTAAAATCTTCAGGAGAGTCCAAGAAACTTCTACGAAACTTTGTTTCGTATCTCCTATGGGTTTTCAGATCGTATAGTGGGTCATTTTATTTGGCACCCGGTGTACATCGCAAAACATGTATTATTGATGAATATTCAGAATCCATGAATTATTCTTGTTGACGTCTTTTCTCGTAATTGTTTGGGAATAAAGTATAGGCTGGAAACCGAACAAAAGTCAATTGTAAAAATCTGAAACAAAGTCAAAGTATGAAACTGATTTTAGTGCATAAAGTTCCGAAGCCAAATATTGCAGAAATAATTTTTCTTCGTCACGTTGATGTTCCATTAACTTCAACATAATCTAAAAAAAAATTACTTACGTTTTTGGTATGGAAAATTCTGTTGTACTGGTACACATCAATATCATACGTATATAGCAAACATTTTTATTATCGACGAATATTCAGTATTATTGGTGAATGCCGTAAGCCAAACAATATTTTTGTTGACGTCTTTTCTCGTATTTTCACATCGACTCTAAACTAGTTTGCAATATCCAAAACAGAAAAATAAAATACTCTAAACAAAACTCCGAAAAATATGTTTTGTAATTCAACATCATAATATTGAATCAGCTATTAGCGTCAACATTTTTATATTTTTCCCATGTAAGTTCTTAGGTGCCCCCGGTACTATAGCAAAGTTGTAATATAACTTTGTGAACGGGCCGGTATGGGTAATTTGGATAAATTCCAATAAGCCAATCTTTGATAATTGAATTAAATATTATCGCAAAATCGCAAAAATGACGTATCAAATAAAGGTTGGTTTACAATAAATACGTGCATATTTGGTTTCACACATTCAAAATAAACTAAGTACGTGGATAAAATACGGCTAAGAAACATTGCTAAAGGGAGACATTATTTTTTAGGTAAATGATCAAACAACTCTCTATTAACAGTTGATCAATATCCTAAGCGGTCATAAAATTCATGTCTAACATTGCTTAGTTGGTACTGTGAAATCCTGTCACGTTCTAGAGAAAAAGCGTTTTGTAACTGGTAAATTTTTCAAATTTAACATTTTTATAGAGAACCTCACAGAAAGGTCAAGTGACCTGGGTGGCAAAAGGATTCTGCACATTGCTCCAATAATATTCCCGTTAAAAGTATTTGCAAAATATATTTGGTACTAATGGCAATGAGGCCGGAAGCAATCCTACACTTGCCACTGTGGTCCTTCAATTCGAAGCCTTTGAGAAGAAAGCTCTCGAGAGCTTTCATCTAAATCCAAAATTATGGAAATGCTACGTCGATGATACTTTTTTTATTTGGCCTGATCGTCAAGAAACCCTAGTAGATTTTCTTAGACATTTAAACTCTATACACCCTAAGATGCGTTTTACCATTGAGTTGGAAACTAATAATAACCTTCCATTCTTAGATATTTTTATCGATATAAAATCAGACCTAACATTGGGTCATTGTGTTTACAGGAAACCTACGCACACAGATCGGTACTTTATTGCATGGTCATATCACCATCCGGCCCAAAAATCATCGGTTGTTTTCAGAATCGTAAAATTATCTCAGCCGGAGTCACTGCACCCAGAATTAAAACACTTTACCTTTGCTCTTCCTCTAATAATTTCCACATAAAAGATATTAAGCGTTCCATCACAAAATACACATCACCACAACCTTCCAATTGCAATGAGGCCGAAAGCAATCCTACACTTGCCACTGTGGTCCTTCCTTACATTCAAAACATCCCTGATCACATATCAAAAGTTCTAAAGCAGTATAACGTCAAAACCAGATTTACCACTTGTCCAAAAATCTCTCGACATTTTCGGTCCGTCAAAGACAAAATTCCATTTTAGATGACAGGAGTTGACAGCATTCCATGCATATGCGGACAAAAAATATCAACTAGGCTCAAAGAACACGAAAGAGCCTTACGACTGAGACAAATAAACTCATCAGCTGTTGCCGAACAGAATCACGAAAGCGAACATAAAATATTATTCGATAAAACTAAAATTCTTGCATGTAATCAGTTCTTCTACCTGTCACCAATGTGGGAATCAGTCATTGGACACGGTATGTATGTCCGTCAAGCAGGTACAGAGTAAAATACGAGCCAGTTTCAGTCAAGCTCTGAAGAAGCCAACAGGATTATTGGCGAAACGTCAGCAAGTTCGACTCAGCATAAACCGATGCAGGAGGAATCCAGAAGTTTCGTAAGATTGGCTTGTTCATACAGGCCACTTCAAAAAGTTATATTACAATTTTGCCATAATATGTAAAATGGAGCCAATATTTTGACAATTAAAATTGTACGTGTAATTAGGAAAAATTAACAATGGTCATTGTGCCGAGATACAAAATGAATAAGAAAATAATCGAAATGGATAAAAATTATTGAAATGAATAACTATCTCGAACTTTCTTTTGCTCGATCAGTGATTCCACAGCGCAGTTTTTGAGGTTTTAATGGAATTTTGTTAATTTTGGAGGTTGAAACTTTAAATCCGGAGATTCAAAGATGATCTACGCTTTAAATTTTTTTTGTAATTTCCGAAACATTCATTATGCGTTACGTCATTTCCGTCGGTCAATATGGCCGCTGACAGTTCGTAATCCAGACCGTTTTTATTTAATGCGACATTATTTTCTGCGGTATTTATTTGATACAGAATGGAATAGAATAGAAACGCTTTTGTTTTTAACTTGGCGAAGGGCATAATAATTATGTTACAAAACAAAACGCGATGAATTTAAACAAGTAAATAATAAAATAATCAAATACAGTTTTTGCATAAACTAAAACTAGAAGTATGCAATATAATAAATATAATTGACCAACTAATTACCAAGAAAGCCAAACAATTCAGCTCTTATGGTACGGATAATCTATAAATCTCTTTTTCAAGGTTTCACATGTAAAACTCCAAAAACAATTCAAAGGAAGAGTAAGAAAAGGACTGCCGAAATTATGCCGTTCATTATAAAAATGTATTTTACTGGTTCTGATTTATTACCTGAACTATAAACATTTTCTAATTTTGAAGATTGACTTATCACTGTGGGGCATGGAGAGTTCAAACTATTGAAACTATACGATGAACGTTTTCCTAATCACAGACTAATTAAGTAGACCATGAACCTTCACAAAACAAGCGATTTAGGTCGTCTCGTTACCATGGAAACGTCAACAATACCTTTGTAACGTTTGTTGTCAGTGTCACTTTGAGAATGTTTAATTTATACAATTTTCCGTGTGAAAAGTGGAGGGGATTTTTTTAAAGAAATTAGCTTTTCACAAAATTCAAAATGCAGGAAGCCAGTAAGGGTAAGTTTTGAAACTAACTTTGTGCGAAGTAAATTACTCTGAAAGGCAATTATCCTTAAAAAATTCTACGTTGCTTTGGGTCACATTAAAAAAGTAGCCCAAAAAATATGTTTGTAATTTATTAAGTAATATGTTACGATTGTAGCATAATTTAGAGATGCTGTTGATACGTGGCGTTACGTGTAAGACACAATTTTGCTCCCACCAGCTCCATTTTAAAAAAATAATTATTAAAGAACTTGCCGGGTGGGCAAAAAAAAAACGGAGAAAAATGTTTTTCGTTATAAGTTTTGATCTATTACTATATAATTTTTTTTTTTTTTTATAGAGCGATAGTGTAACTTAAGCTTGATTCATGTAAGACATTGTTATTATTTTTGGCATTTCAATAGTGAAAGGTATTGTCATAACTTTTGATTACCTTGGGTCTTGAGACTAAGACTAAGTATAAATCAAAACCTTAAACGAACGCATTTTTTTAGAGCTATGACTAATGCAAAAATTATTGTTATTGTTTTATTTCGTTTCTATCAAGCAAACAAAGTTAAATATTTTAAAAAATCCGGTAACAATATTTAGTTTTAGTCTATATTAAATAAATAACTTTTTACTTAAATATAATTATTTCAAAATGTTTTTAGATTATACCTCGTGTTATTAAAGCGTTTCCATGATTTTATTAAAAACTGTTTGTAAATATAGAGTTTTTGTGAACACCCTGTATAATAATTATATTATATTGAATTTTGATGTTCGTAATATTTTTTTCTTTTTATTGCTGTTTTTATTAATATTAAGTGAAATTTATTGGCTGAAGCAAAAAAAAAACGAATGAGAAATTAAAATACAAATCGAATTTAAAAAAAAAAAGGACAACGCTCCAAAATCAAAACGTAGACGTCGTATACGCCTCGGTGTGTTTTTCTAGTGTATAACGCAACGCAAACGTCAAGTTACAGTATTACAACACTGCATCGATATAAACGAGTGCCGCGCGTTTTGAACGTGTCCATTCGAATTGTGACTTTCGTGCCGAAAGGAATTTCATGAGTTTATTTTTCACCGCTGCCATTTTTCTCTGTTCTCTCCACCCGCTTGTCGCGTCTTATTCTTTTATAATTTTAAAATAAATTGAAAAAAAAAATGCGCGTTGCTATCATCGGAGCCGGTGCGGCGGGATTGGCCTCCGCCAGACATATTTCCAACACTTCGGATTTTTCTCTGGATGTGTTCGAAATGGGTGCCAGACCGGGTGGTACCTGGGTTTATACGGACGACGTGGGCCAAGACAGATACGGATATCCGGTCTACTCTGCGATGTACAAGGGACTAAAGTGAGTGAAACTTATTTCTTTCTTTATTTCTTGTTTCTTGCTGCTAAAATAAATTAATGTGTCTCCTTGCGGTTAAATTGTGGACAAAAGAGTTACCAGTGCTGCGAAAGGGAACCATATGATCCAGTTTTTAAGTTTTCTCATCGTATTAATTTTAAAAAATAACATTTTTTAAATTGTTTGAACACGCATTTAAATATCACTAAGGTTATAGCTTTTTTAGTTGTAGTTCTTTGAACACCTATCTTGGGTTAAAAAATAATTTGATAATAGTGTTTCTTACAGTTTTTTTTTAAATTTTAAAAAATTACCGGTTTTAGGTTGTTTGAACACATGGAACTGTATTTAAATATCCCTAATGTGATAGCCGCTCTTTATTTATTAAGGAAAATAATGGGCGTCATCTTGAGATTAAAGGAAAGTTAGTGAGTGCTTCTTATAGCTTTTTAGATATTTTTGGAGCAAAATAAACTTTTCAAAGTTGTTTGAACACCTATCTTGGGTTGAAAAATAATTTGGTAATAGTGTTTCTTACAGTTTTTTTAGATATTTTTTGGATCAAAGCCGTCAGTCCAGTGTAATCGCAGGATTACTTTTAAAAAATTACCTTTTTTAAGTTGTTTGAACACATTGAAACATATTTAAATATCTATAATATTTCAACCTCTCTTTATTCATTAAAGAAAATGATCAGCTTCATGTTAAAATAAGTAAGTAGTGTTTCTTATAACTTTGTTAGATAATTTTTCAACCACAACCACCAGTCTCACATAATTGCAGGATTGTCAACAATAAACTTTTCTAAGTTGTTTTGAACACTTATCTTGGGCTTAAAAATAATTTGGTAATAGTGTTTCTTGTAGTTTTATTAGATATATTTTGGACCAAAACCAGCAGTCCAATCTAATAAGAGGATTAATTTTCAGAAATTACTTTTTATAAGTTGTCTGAATACATGTAACTATATTTAAATGTCTTTAATATTACAACATCTCTTTATTTATTAAGGAAAATAATCAGCCTCATGTTGAGCTTAAAAATAAGTCACTAGTATTTCTAATAGCTTTCTTACATAGTTTGTCGACCACAACCACCAATCTGCCATAATCGCAGGATTAATTTTCAAAAATAAACTTTTCTAAGTTTTTTGAATACTCATCTTGGGCTTAAAAGTAAGTTACTAATAGTGTTTCTTATAGCTCTCTTAGATATCTTTTGAGATATCTCATTATAGAATAAATTTTCAAAATAAACTTTTTTATCTGCCTCTACTTTTTTATTAACAAAAATAAGGATCTTTATGTTGGGCTTAAATATAAGTAATCAAAAAGTCTTCCAATTCTTCTTCCGAATATTGCGGTAGTCTTCATTTTTTATATTTTTGAAAATAAATTGCTACGATGTTTTCTTCTTGGAAAGCACTACAACTTTATGAACACGTATACCTTTTCTTAATTACGTCGTCATTTCGTTAAGATTGACTTTTATTATTTTTAGTGCAACTGAACTGAACTGAAATTATGATTCTAAATGCAAAACAAAACAATAAAAAGTTGTAATTATTACCATCTGCTTGTTACTTTCGAAAATCGATTAAATCGATTATCTGCGCTCGTATAAAAATTTTATATATCGGGTCCTACGGGATCGCCGTTGGTACAGAAATGTTCACCGTCGAAAAAAAATTTTTTTTTTGTCTGTTTGTCCGTTCTCCGTTCTCTGTTCTTCGTTCTCGTCTTTTGGTTTTTCCTGAATAACTTTCGAACCGTTGGAGCTACAAAATTGAAATTCGCTTCCTTTTTAACCCTCCACGAGGCACATAAGCTTGTAAGAAATGGCCCTGATCCGACGCCGGTATCCATCTTTTTTTCGTGATTTTGAACCTTGTTACGAAACACGATAAGATAAAAAAAATAAAAATCGCGTGTGCAAGGGGCTACAAAAAATATCATTTTTCAAAAACTGTTTACGAGACCAAAAAAATTCTTGAACCAAAAGAAATTTTATTCTTGACAATTTTTCAAAAATATACAGGGTGCGCTGTAAATTAAAAAAAAATGAGTCCCCCTATTATTTTAGAATTGGTTATAACTGAAAGACTATGATTCAGATCTCACTTTCTTAGATATTTCGATATAGCCCGCATAGACAGCAAAAACTATTGTATTTAAAGTTTTCACCAGGGTGTCCCCGATATTCCGTGCTAAATGAGAAATGTGTTAAGTGTCCTAAATTTGCAGATATCAACTTCAAATTTAGCAGAGAAGTAAAAGTCCATGTCCACATTTAAACCGTAGGAATTTTTTAAAATATATTTCAAGTTTTTTTTTTGGTAATTTTAGCTTCCAGAGAAATATGTTTTCCTCCATAATTGTTCATCCGATTGCCAAAATTCTTTAACCGGCAGACGCAGAAGATCCAGTGCAATAACATTTATTGCAGGCATTTTGAAATCGCTATTTCAGGGGCTGTCAAGACGCCATTACGTCATTGATTATTACGGCGCACTGCATGGTATCAGAAAGAAAATATTTTCTCGAAAACCATTTACTATTTTCAACAAATTCTTGAACCAGGACGCGTGCAAAATCCAGGGCTATAACCTCTACTTTGAACAATGATTGTATGTTATACAGGGTGTGTCGTTTATGGGCAAAAAATCTAAAATATCCTAAAAATTTCCGTTTCTGTGGCTAAATTATTGGCGATAAATGAAAAACCATTGAAGATGGGATAATTTTATTTGACCAATATCGTAAAGCGTGTCGTGAGAAAGTTTCAGGTTTCGTCTATTATACGGGGAACGAGATATTTGAAAAAATATTACTCGACAACGCTATTATTTGTGCAAATTTTAATATTTACCGATGTTTGCTGTAACTTTGAAGTTCGACGAGATGTGGAGGACATTTTATACAGGGTGCATGCACAATTAAATTACATCGATTTTGCGAAAGTTCCATAGTGGTCCGCAGGAGCACGATAGAAAAACAATGCGCCCCTTTACCACACGAAGCCGCGAAGGTCTTTCCTTTTATAATAAAAAGCTGCTTTTTTTACAGATGCTGCGATCATTTATAGTAGGTCCAAAATTTGATAAAAAAAATATGTGACATAAGATTTATACTAAAACACTTCCGTCTTGAGTGTACGTTAATATTTAACGCTCGTTTGGCTCGCACGTTAAAATTATCTTCGTTGAAATGGCTAAACAAAATCACGCAAACAACTGTATCACCATAAAAATACATATCCTATATATTTAATTATCTACTAACCTTCCTTACGACGGTTCATTTGATGGGATCTAAATTACAGTAAATTTCATAAAAATCAATTCCGTACACGTAAACAACTCGATAAAATATTTTTTATATCACTTTCGGGACTCCTCCTTCTGATGGATCGGAAGTGCAGACTTGACTGTACGTAATTCATTTTTCCAAATAAATGAAAAACCACAAGAAATCTCTACTTAGTAGTCCTACAACTTTGCAGTAGTTATAACGACAAAAATTGTCTCTACTATCGACATCTATGTTTTGCTGGCGATACACTATATTTACGTATGGAAAATTCTATGACACTTATTTCGTTACAAAATTACGTCAAAATAACGTAATCATCGATAATGTGAGATCGCCGGCCCGGCCAAAACATCGTTTTGGTTGGCGTATTATTTAAAAATGACGTTATTATTCTGTATTTTATTTTATTTTTTTTTAATGGAACGCTAAAAATATTTTTTATAATTCTAATTGTTCCCCTACTTTTGAGTATTCCTTCTCAGTACGTAGAATACGAAATTTTATCTCTTTTTTTTTAAAGGAACTTTTCCATTTTTTTGCGAAAAAGCGGGTCTTTGGTACAACGTGTTTTTTACACCAGAATTGGGAAATATATTATACAAGTTGGTCGCAAATAATCTTCAGCAAAATGTTTTTTTCTAATTAAAAAAACTCAATTTTTTAAATGGATTTGGATTTAGCACTTTGTTGGATTTGGGATTTAATTCTGCTTTATTTCTCATATATAGCTTTTATGACAAAGATTGGTAGTTTAGAAACTATGGCCAATTTTCTGCAACAACTCGTGTATTTTATTTTAAATCTAACAAAACTTTGTTTTTAAACATTAATTACTTAAATTCAATATTCAATCAACAAGTAATGCAAGTAAATAGAACTTACCACTAAAAAACATTTTCTAGATAACCTCCACCTTTGGCAATACAATACATTACAATACAATTTTCCCAATAGCATTTCTAACCGCGTCTGTTACATTAAGACTTTCTACCTCTTGCGGAATTGAAGTCTAGAACGCTATCACACCTATTTTTATACACTTCGTTATTTATGGAGCCCCATAAAGAAAAAATCTAGGGGTGTCAGCTAAATGTCAAATAAAACTTTTTGTAATTAATAATGAGTTCTATTTACTTGCACTACTTGTTGATTTCATATTGAATTTAATAGAAGTGCTAAATACAGGTTATTACTTTTTAAAAAATTGCGTTTTCTAAATAAGAATACAAAAATTGGTCAAAACATTAAATATTAACCACTTCTGTGGATCCATAATAAAAATTCCGAATTTCAGCTTTCAAGTGCATATGAAAACACATTTTTTTAAAGACCTATTTTCCGGAAAAAAAAATGGGACACCCTGTATACATAAAATATATACTTACTTTCTTTTATTCAGTGTCGTACTTATTATACACATTATAGTAGATGCGTCATGAAAACATAATACAGAAAAACGGTATAATACAAAAAAAGTTGAGTCTGAAAGCTATAAAAGTAATCAGTAAGAAAGTGTTATAAAGAAAACAAATCAATTCAAAAATCGTAAAACAAAATAATGAAAAATCACTTTGACAAAAAAAAGTATCAAATAAAAAGAAGATTTCTTGTAAAACTCATGATAATGCTTATTTAATAATATGATGTTGCTGCCTTCAGTGTTGATCACCGAGTGATTTTAGTTTACTTTTATTTTTAAAAGTAAAAGTGAGTACCTTTAATATAAAAGCGGAAGCAATAATTAAAATTCTATACGTCTTAGAAAATCCTCTACATGATAGGCAATTACTGTTACTGCTGTGGTGTCAACCCAATAAGCAAACAACTTGGCACTTTTGAAAAAAACTGACATGTCGTTGTTAAATATTGCAAATACATACAATTTCTGCTTGTTAAAGCGTTTGAGCGAATATTTATATTTTATATTTATATTTCAGGTGAATTTGCATTCTTTGTTTTCAATATACAGGGTGCCAAAGTAAACCTTTCGAAAAATATTTTTGAAATTTGTTTGTGTATATGAATTTAAGCAATTTTAGCAAGGTAATATTTTACCCTTTGACTCTTCATTTTTTCTGAAGAACGTCCATGAACTTGAAGCTAATATTTTGTAGCTATTTTGTACCTTTTCATCTTTTGAAAAAAATTGCGCTTTTATGAGATATTTTTACTTATCTGTGTAGCGATTTATAAAACAATTATCAGATTAATGGGGGAACACAAAAGATACCATTAAATATCGAAATTAAATAAATTTATAACTTACAAGTTAACTTTCACCCTCTGTATATTGAATACAAAGCTTTCAAATTAACGTGGCTAAGTAAGTAAATGAAATTAATAAATTTTAATCGAAATTTTACAGGACGAATTTACCGAAGGAGGTTATGGGCTTTCCAGATTTCCCGATTCCCGAGCAGTCCAGATCTTACCTAACTCAAGCCGAAATATTGAATTTCCTGGAACTCTACGCCGCAAAGTTCGATTTGATGAGATATATCAAGGTAAACCGATTCGTTTTCCACAATTTATTGTTGCAAAGGCCGCTAGGTACACTGTGCCTCTAAATTTGTTACATTTTCTCTATAAACACCGACTTTCACACATTTAACTCGTTGCCCCAGAATATTTCACGAGGTCTGGGCACGTTTTGAGAAAATGCTGCCTTAAAAATGCAAAATCTGAACTGAAACCTATCGAATCGACGAACTGTCAGCGGCCATGTTGGTTGTCGAACGTCGCTCGGTCTTATTGGTTATTTCGAAATGACAGATGTTGTTGGTTGAAAACGAGATTTTAAATGACGCGCATGCGCCTTTTGAATATCTTTTCTTTACTTTTTTTTTCATGGTGATTTCAAAAATTTCTTATCATTACCTCGTAGTTGAACACCATGGTCACCGAGGTACGCCCGGAAGGGAACCTGTGGAAAATAACGTCCGTTCACAAACCCACCAGAAAGGAATCCACCGAATTATATGACGCTGTCATGATCTGCAACGGTCACTACAACGATCCAATTTTTCCCAACATCCCGGGACAGGAATTGTTCTCTGGCAGCATCGACCACAGCCACAATTTCCGTGATGCAGAAAGGTTCAAGGGCAAGAGGGTATTGGTGGTAGGAGCCGGACCTTCTGGATTGGATCTGACTCTTCAAGCTTCAACAGTTGCCGAATATGTAAGCAATTCTTCCAAAGGCCCAATTACATTTTGTGGTCTGTACTTCCACAGATAACACACGACATCCATTGATATGTCAAATTAATCCATACATTATCCATGCAGTCCAGGAAACTCTCTACAACTTTTGAATATCCTTAGAATATTCCGATATAGTCACAATCTGTAACGTTATCATGGATTTAAATCGATGGCTTTCTATTTTATTTATAATTATTTTTGAAAACAAGTATTATGCGACGTCACAGAATAAGAAGAATCGTTACTACCAAAAAACCAAAGTTCATAGCTTTGGTCAAACCTAGACATCCTAACGCAGCAATTCTTGTCATGCCAATTTATTGGAGGCAATTTTACTTGTCATGTACACGTTACTTGTTGAACTATGATGGACAATGTATATTATTAATTAAACTAACGTTAATGCAGGTAGTTCTAAGTCACCACTCTTCGGAACCGATCAATACGCAATACCCACCCAACGTCGAACTAAGGCCCGACGTAAAACGCGTCATTGAATTCAACAAGGTGGAATTCGTTGATGGTACTTGTTGTTGTTTCGACGAGATACTACATTGTACCGGCTATAGATATAGTTTCCCGTTCCTGCACGAATCATGCGGCATCAGCGTCGACGAGAACCACATCGAACCCCTCTACAAACACATGATCCATATCGACAGACCCAACATGTGTTTCATCGGAATACCATTCAATGTATGCGCCTTCCAAATGTTCGACTTGCAGGTAAAGTCAGTTTTGCCCATTTTGTCTCAATTGGTCAGCTGAATTTTTTTTCAGGCAAGATACTTCTGCAAAGTTCTAGATGGGTCTTTGAGTTTACCATCGACCACAGATATGAGACTGCATACCGAGAAGGACATGCGGAACAGGTGGGCAAAGGGGTATACCAAAAGGCAGGCACACATGATGGGGCCAGATCAGCAGTCGTATTACGACGATTTGGCTGCTGCAGCTAGCACCACCCCCATAGCTCCCGTAATGGTGAAACTCAGAGACTTGAGTGTGAAGAAACTCTACAATGACTTCCTCAACTTTAGGCAAGACAGATACAAGATTCTAGACGAACACAACTTTGTTAAGGTGTAGAATTAAGTATACTTAACTGGTGTATAGACATTTTAATAAATTATTGTTAATTATAAGGACGCTCATTCAGTTTGTAAAGTCATTGCTTACATCGACAGAACTACGTTTCCATAAAATGTAACCACTATTCATTAGGAATTCCGAATTATTTATAAAATTGTAATAACTATTTGATAATATACTTGAGTAGCTTGTAGTTCTGGTACTAATTTGGTTTATTTTCCCTGGCCTATACCTACAGTTAAATATAGGTATAAACTAAACAAAAGTACTTTGCTTGAAAAGGCTGTGTAAAAATCTGACGTTACAATTTTCCTTATTAAAAAAAAATATATATATATCAAATTTTTCTTTTATAGTTTTTAAAAGTATCTTAAATCTACGGTCGAATTATCCTAGCTACAATAGCTACCGGAAGTAAAATAAAAGAAGTTATCTATGGTGACAGGCTACTATTACCATTCTGTAGGGATTCCAAAAAGTTATATTTGTGTTTAAGTGTTGCCAACCCCGCTGTTTTTGTCATGCACGCCGGTTAAAGGTGTTTTCAAGTAAACTCAATTGGTGTTATAATCTTTGCATACGTGTTGGACTGTGACCAAAAGATAAAAGAACCGTGACGGACATCGGGAATGGGCGAATGATTGTAATAGTGTTGTCCAACAGTTTGCAAAACGTATAAGAATAAGATGTAAGTTGTGGTATGGACCGAATCCAAACAAACGAAACGTCATTAATATTTGAAGTTTTTTTTAAATAGTCATTATTTAAATTTTCTCATAACGTGTAGTTCAAAAGTAACACACTAACCAATTATGTTCCAAATATGTGGAATGGTATAGCTGATTTACTTACATTTGTAAAGTCCTATGTAGGTACGTAGATTCCCACGTTTCCCCCAAAAGTACTAACCGTTGTTTGGTGCGTTGCGTGCTATCACGACATTTTTGCACTTCTTTTTTTTTTTCAGTTAACTACATAGACATCGATTGTTCACTATGGCTTACTTGGTGCCTGACACCGTTGCTGGTAACTTTCTTGCTACCAGCAGTCATTGCGTTACTTTTGTACCTAAGTGCGTTAATATTGTACATATACAAACTCCATCGGAATCATATAAGAAATGCTTTGCAGACTGGTGACCGTTGGGTCGCTGCCAGAAAGTTAATAGCCATCGTTTGGGACGCTCATGGTTGGATATGGCATGGTAATTTTGCATAGGTTTATGGAATTGATATATTTAAAGTCATCTTTTAGGTTACGAGGTGGAAGGTTTAGAAAATTTGCCCAAAGATGGACCCGCTTTAGTAATATATTATCATGGTGCTATACCTGTAGATATTTATTATTTTTTGGCGAAAATTTACCTTATGAGGAATAGACTCGTTCACACAGTAGCTGACCATTTCTTATTTAAAGTCCCAGGTAATTAATAATTCTATTTATTAAATAATTTCCTAATTTGAGCCGCTGATTAAGGATTTAGTGAGGTCCTCGATTGTCTGAGGGTGATACCAGGTACCGTGCAATCTTGCTCCACGATTTTAAAAGACGGTAACTACCTAGCCATCTCACCCGGTGGAGTATATGAGGCACAGTTCAGTAGAAATTATAACCTGATGTGGAAAAAACGATTGGGCTTTGCCAAAGTAGCAATCGATTCAAAGGCAGTAAGTAGACACAGGTGGTCCCTTGATTTGGGTAGAAGTGAATAACTGTTGAGGCTTTCACTTACCTTTCCTGCGTCTCTTTTCTTAATTTGTGGTGGTGAGTGTCTCAATTTAGTAAGGTTTTTCCCAGTTATATATATAAAGTCTTTTCAATCGCCGAATGCAATTTTTTTTGTTTGAAAACATGTCTTATTGCAGCCAGTGATACCCATGTTTACAGAAAACATAAGGGAGGCCTTTCGGACGGTCAGCATAGGCCGCCGGTGGTTCTTAAAGTTGTACGCCTATACGAAACTGCCTCTGGCGCCAATTTACGGTGGATTCCCTGTCAAGTTGGTGACCCATATAGGAAAGCCGATTTATTTGGACCCCAATGTAACGGCCGAAGGGTTACAACTGAAGGTAAGTTTGATATAATCAATAACTTAAAATAATAATTTAATCGAAAAGTATTTTTATTTTGCCGTAGGTGGCCTCCGCTATCGAAGATCTCATACACAAGCGCCAACGAATCCCCGGAAGCATTTTATTGAGCCTAGTTGAACGAGTACCGTATCTGCGAGGGAGACTTCGATCACAATCGATCGTTCACGAAGATTGAGGGCATTTCGTGTTGGTATCATTCCATTTCCGAAAGTCCTTTGAAGAAATGCGTAGCAAAAATGGTTTTCTACAACTTTCCAGTGATATTTTATTTTCGTGGTCTCGAGATAGATGGCGTCATTATCAATGTTAAAGGAAATATATTTTATAAGATATACAGTTTTATTCACTTGTTTATTTAACTTATTTCCCTTACCTATTTCAAATAGAAAAGCTCCTGATTCGAATTGGCTTTATTGAATGTTATGTACAATTAGATAAAAAAAAATATTTGCGAAATCCACAAAGTTTCGCAAAACGACGAGGATGAAAATTATTTAAAATATTTAAAAAATGTATAATCGATGATCATAACATAAACAAAAATTTGATACAAATTACTTGAGGTACGGCAGATTCTCTAAACGAGCAAGGTCTGCACAGGCTTCTTGCCCGGCCACGCTTCCTTGGCATATTTCTTCTTCTTCGGTTCTAGAGAGTCCGAAGCTTGTACCTGCTGCGGGATGAATGGTGTGGCTGCAGCCAATCCCATATCCACATCCGGAGCAGGATTAGGTAAAACCATGCCCAACCTAAACGAACCAGATTATTGTACAGGGACATGTTTACGGGGTATATCGGTTAGTTTTCACTTGCCCTAACCATTTTTTTTTATTACTCGAATATAATAACTACAGTAAAGATATAATTGAAGAGCTAATCACTCTGACAAAGCTTTGCATGAGTGAAAATATTTTTTTATATAATAACAACTATTATGAACAACAAAATGGCACGGCCATGGGAAATTGCTTATCTCCTTTCCTGGCTGAACTTTTCATGCATCACTTTGAACAGAGTGCTAAAGAAAATTTCGAGTACTTTCCTAGGATATGGTATAGATACGTCGACGATGTTTTCGCGGTTTTTGATACAACTTGCATTTGATTTAAATGACTTTATTTCAAACTTGAATAATTACTTCCCAACTATTAAATTCACATATGAAATATAAGGTTGTTCGGAAAGTCATTTCGTTTTTTCCCGTCAGAGGACTTAATTACGTTTTTTCGAAACCAACTTCACACTTAAGCCGCATAACCATTATATGTCTTGAGAGCTGATATTGCAAGGCTTGTGTGTGAAAAAGTTCTATTAATTCTACGCAGTAGTTTTTGGTTGGAGCCCTTTTAAATATGGAGAGCAATAAGCAGCATTTTCGTCATATTTTACTTTTTTACTTCAGAAAAGGTAAAAATGCTGTCCAAGCGAGAAAAAAATTGACGGATGTGTATGGAGAAGGCGTGTTAACAGTACGCCAGTGCCAGAACTGGTTTGCAAAATTTCGATCCGGCAATTTTGATGTCGAAGATGCACCACGGTCTGGAAGGCCGGTCGAAGCTGACAAAGATGCGATAAAGGCATTAGTTTATGCAAATCGGCGAATTTGTCGAATTCGACTGTTTATGGCCATTTGAAAGGCATGGGCTTAACCTCGAAGCTCGTTGTGTGGATGCCCCATGTCCTTACGGAGCGAAATTTGTGTCGTCGCGTTGACGTGTGTGGTTCGCTCCTCAAACGTCAAGAAAATGATCCATTTTTGAAGCGGATTATTACTGGGGACGAAAAATGGGTTGTATACAACAATGTTAAACGCAAGAGGTCATGGAGCGGAAAAGATGAACCGGCTCAAAGCGTGTCAAAAGCCAACATTCACCAAAAAAAGGTGATGCTCTCCGTTTGGTGGGATGTCAAAGGAATCGTTTTATTTGAGCTTTTGCCGGACAATACAACGATTAATTCAGAAGTCTATTGTCATCAACTGGACAAATTGAATGATTCACTTAAAGAGAAGAGGCCCGAATTAATCAACAGGAAGGGTGTAGTGTTCCACCAGGATAATGCGAGACCTCACACAAGTTTGGTCACTCGCCAAAAACTTTTACAGCTTGAATGGGACGTACCGCAACATCCACCATATTCTCCAGATCTGGCGCCTTCCGACTACTATTTGTTCCGGTCCCTGCAAAATTTTTTGGATGGCAAAACCTTTACCTCAAATGAAGATGTCAAAAACCACCTGAACCAGTTTTTTGCCAGCAAGGACCAAAACTTTTATGAGAGGGGAATTATATTACTGCCAGAAAGATGGCAAAAGGTGTCGGACCAGAATGGCCAATATATAATTTAATAAAATATTTATTCATTATACGAAAACTGTCTTTCATGTTCCCCAAAAAAAAACGAAATGACTTTCCGAACAACCCAATAGAAAGTAACATGCAGTTGCCTTTTTTGACGTTCTCATTGTCAGAAACAGTGAAAATCATATAGTACCTGATATTTATAGGAAAGACAGTAGTACTTTAAGATACATAACGAATGATTCTAACCATGCTTTTCAACATAAAATGGCGAGTTTTATTTTTCTAGTCCATAGACTTGTCACATTTCCTTTAAATCAAGAAAGGTCTGAGGTGGAAAGATGCCTTATAAAAAAGGTGACTAAAATTAATGGCTATAAAGATAGTTTTATCGATAAGTTAATTAGGAAATTTAGATTTCAAAACAAACTTCAAAAATCAACGACTTTTTAAGCTGATAAGCAAAACTTAAAAGTAGTCTCAATTCCTTTTTCTTCCCAATATACAAGTGGACTTGATAAGAGTCTTCAGGGCCGCAGGTCTTCGAAGCGCCCATCAGTCCAGATCAAAATAAAAAAAATTTTTGGGTAATTCCAAGGATAAACTAGGTACCCTTGGAAAGTCGGGAATTTATGAAATATGTCGTAACGATTGTGACAAGTCATATGTAGGGCAAACCAAAAGATCAATTAATGTTAGATTTAAGGAACATTTAGCTCATTTAAAATTTGCTAGATTAGAAAAATCAAGTGTAGCCGAACATATGTTCAACAATAATCATAAGGTAGATATAAGTAATTTAAAATTAGTTAAACAGGTAAAAAATTGTAGAAAATTTGATGCCTACGAAAGCTTACAAATTGTTAAGAGAGGGAATAAGGCACTGAACAAGGACAGAGGTCCAATCTCATGTAGCCCATTATACTCGCTGATTGGTTGCGTAAACAGTGCGTAATCCCCTCTCCCACTTCCCGATGTGTATATATACAGAGAACATTTGTTCTAATAAGTTTAGTTTTAATCTTCTCCTGAAGATGGCAACTTGGTTGGCGAAACGCGCGTCCAGTACGTAAAATTGAGTTTCGGTTTGTGGTAAAACGCGTTACTGTGTGTCTAACCGTTTTTCAGTTATGAAGCAAACACTTTTTTTTAATGAGTAAGATCACGTCAAGTGGACACCCCATTTACCACTTGATCATAAAAATTTAATCTATGTATATTTCTTATAAGTGCTTATGATGGAAAATTGATCTCCCAAACGATTTTTAAAAATTTTGATTTTAACAATTTTTTTTATAATGAAAATTTTAAGCACTTTTAATTAAAAAATGGATCAAAAATCAACCGTAAGAGATAAATTTATGCAATTTTCAGCATCCATGGTCAAAATACTTAAAATTATTTGTTTATTTTCGTATTGTTAACTAGTTAACAAATAAAAATTTAACTGATTTCTTGGTAAAAAAATCATGTTTTTTTTATCGGTCACATGCTTTATCCATTTAAGTTTACGATTCCGGAAGAAAATTTCACTGCTCCTGATTAGTTTAAACAAAATGCGAACTGCATTGAAGTGATAATTTAAAATAATAATACAAAATATTATTATAAAACAAATTTTATTATTATGTATGTTATTTTACTATAATTATTATTAATAAAATTTTATTTTTTTTAACAATGTTATAAAGAATACTATCAATTTTTTTTATTATTTTTACCAAACAGCGTAAATTTAGAAAAAAATATTCAACTTTAAATTTTTAAAACTGTTATGGTCTATATTTTTTTTTAGATAATTTAGTAAATCATTATTTTTAAATTTACTAGTCAACACTCCATCTTTAGTTAACTAAAGAAAAACCGCTCCTTTAAGATTTTCGTTTGTTTTTCGCGTATCCTAGTAAATAACAAAATCACTTTAGAAGTCATTACTGTCTATTCGTGACATAAGTTTATACGCAAAGCATGAAATAATTATTAAAAATAAAAGCTGAAGTGTTGTTGGGTTGTGTTTTTTTAGTATTATAATTTTTAATTGTAATAATATATTTTCTGTGATTTAAAATGGACCGAGTGAGTTATGAAATTATGTTATTAAAAAATTAGTTTTAATTATTATTTAAATATAATTTTGCCAATTTAGTTAATCATAAAAACGATTTTGGTGTTGATGCCGACTAGATTTTTTTCGCTACATGTCATGGCAAAGGAGCGTGTGATGGCTTAGCAGGGAGTGTAAAAAGACAAGCCTATCGTGCTAGTCTCCGACGTGATAAAAACAACCACATAACAACCGCACCTTCCTTTTTTCAGTGGGCCCAAAGTTCTTTAAAAAAAATACCAACCACGATTCGAACGCTTAACTACAATAAAAAATACTCGCCATTTTATTGTTACAAACCATTGGAAAATTTTTCACTAGAATGCAGGCTCGTTTCACATGATGAAAAAGTATTTATTAAAAAAATAATAATAATAAATGACGACAAATTGACAACTTAATTATTTAAGCTTGTTTGTTCTATTCAGTATTTTATGACTGACAAATAAAATTTTATTAATAATAATTATAATAAAATAACATAAATAATAATAAAATTTGTTTTATAATATTTTGTAATATTATTTTATATTATCACTGATAAAACCTTTTGTGCAGTTCGAGACGCTCGGCAGCGCGGAGCGCTGTTATAAATAAATTCATTTTATTTAAACTAATGAAGAGCAGCGAAATTTTCTTCCGAAATCTTAAACCTAAATGTGTAAACCATGTGACAGATAAAAAAAATGTTTTTTTTTTACCAAGAAATCAGGTAAATTTTCATTTGTTAACTTAAAAGTCAGCAATCCGAAAATAAACAAATAATTTTAATTCGTTAATATATTCTTAAAGTATAGACATTTGACCATGGATGCTGAAAAAGTTGTTAAAATCAAAATTTTAAAAAATCGTTTGAGGGATCAATTTTTCATCATAAGTGCTTATAAAAAATATATATAGATTAATATTTTATGATCAAATGGTAAATGGGGGGGGGGGGGGGTCCACTTGACGTGATCTTACTCTAACACCCTACATATTATTTTTTACATTAATTGGAAATCATTTAAGCTTTTCAAAAATATATATATTAGTATAAAGTTATTCTGAAAATTCAGCTCAAAATTCAATTTTTTACATCTAAGCAGTTATTACTATACAAGAGACTGTTTCCTTAATTTCGAAAAAACACGATGAAAATATATTTTTTTAAATAACAATGTTTCATGCATATGATAAATATTTTACTATAAAAGGTTCAGTAGACAGTTGGCTATGATTCATCTATTGAAAACAAAAAAGCAGATGTGTCAAAAACATGCGAGACTGTCAAATTCTAATTATATTTTGATTACCTATCCGTTTGTTTTTTCTGTGTTTATTTCATTCCAATTAATTTTCTATAATACTGGCAGCGTATGCAAATTCTGAAACATATGATATGTTGTGATATCTGACACAATGCAATGAAAATGCCCAAGAAGCTTCGGCATTATATTATCAGAGGTAAGCTTTTTAAAGAGATAAAGTCAGTATAATTTTTATATTATAGATATGCGTTTTGTTTTTATTAGATATACAGAGAGACGACAACCGTTTCCAAATATATTTGCTAGTCTGAAAATAAATCTAGTTAGGCACCGATCCTTCAAGCAATTATTTGAAAGAGCATAGGGAGCAAAGAGAAACAAATGTATTAGGTTACATAATTGATTCAATGTCCTATCACTAATACCCTGTTTTAGTTTCGGTTCATGGAAATAATATCTAAAATAAATGAGAACAAATTCTGGAATTTATGTCTCTCTTGGTCAAAAAGGTGCAATACCTACAACACGAAAAAAACTTAGGTCCCTGCTGAGGGATGCTAAACATTGATATGATATGCAAATATTAAATTAGAAGGTAGCACAAAAAATGAAATATTGATAATTGAAAAACTGAACGGCAATGATGTTGAAAATGCAAACTATTTTAACGAGTTTTTTAGAACAGAGATATCTAAACTGAATGAAAGTGCGACTCCTCCAATAAGACACCATCAAATACCAGATATACCATATAATCCGAATACAATGTTTCTAGCACCAACAAATGAGACAGAAATTTGTCAGACTATTAGTAGACTTAGAAAACAAGGCCGCTGGTTATAATGACATTCATGCCTGTATTGTATTATAAATAATGCCATGGCATATCAATTCAAGACAGCCGTAAGTTGTCCAGTTTATAAGCAGGGTCAAAGAATTCGATATGTATTAATTTCAAATCTTGCAAAGTTTTTTGAAAAAATCGTTTTTGTCAACCTCCTTAATAAACACAACCTTTTCAGTTTAAGACAATTTACCTTCCTCCACAAGAAAGACATGGATGATGCTATAGCTGTGCTTAGTAAATGTATATATGAAAAGTCTTAGTTAGTCTTAGTCTTAGCCTACCCACAGTTGTGAGTTTTTTAGACTACACAAAAGCCTGTAATATAATTGATCACATTATACTAGTATCCAAATTGCAGAATATGGGAGTAAGACAGACGCCATATTGTTCATCTTGTTAATATTCTTTAGATATGTTATTTCATCTTAATTAGAGTAGAAATAGATTATAATCAGTTGAAAATTTGTACAAATAGGAATACCACATAAAACATTTAAATAAATAATAATAATAAATATAAATATATATATATATATATATATATATATATATATATATATATATATATATATATATATATATATACATAGTTTTTTATTTAAAAAACCAAGAGGACAATTTTTTTGAGAGCATCTTTAATTTCACAAATAAGTGGCACGATGTAGCGTAAAGCGCAACTTCCTATCTTAAAAAATAACCGACACACTCCATAAATACAATACACTGAAAATTCTATATATGCAAAAAAATCAATAACTTTTATCAAAAGAAGACATGTGGACATACCTTGAGCTCAGTGAACTGTAGATATTAATATTGCTAACGCTCGAAGACTGCGTTTCGGGGGGCAGATCGTTATACAAATCTGGTGGATGATGTAAAACTTTCGGCACTTTAAACTCTGTATGCGGTACACCTAAACTATCTCCTAACTTCATCCTCTTGCTTGATGTCGGTATTATTGTCGTCTGAACCAGGTTCCTAAACCTCCCTATGCTGGGATCAATGTCTTCAGGATTTATGATCTCTTCATCTTCATTAAAGGAAACCGACTGCCTCTTTCGTTTTCTATTTTTGTTTCTCTTCTCCGCATCGTCCGTAATGCCCAGCATGGATATTCTTCGGTTGTGAGCTGTATTAAATTCAGTCAAATTCTGGCACAAACACCATCAGTAAATTAACATGAGCTGGGAACAAGTTAAGCTGCGGGTGACTTCGTAAGTATACACAGAAACTTGTTGAAAACAAAAACTGCGTCTTTACTAACGAAATCACCTTATATAAAAAAAAAACACTCACATCTAATTCCGTTTCAGTCTCCGGAAGACCCAAAAGACCACCCTCTGTTTCTTCACTGGCTTTCTCAATCTCATCGATGATAGGCCTGATACCAGTCTGAGGTCGTTCCCTAATAATATAGTTTCTAGTGGAGGCACCAAAGTGAAAACCTGAATCGATTGGCAACTGAGTAGGTTTGTTTCCTTCCAAGCGCAAACTTCCGATAAATGTGCCGTGAGCTAAAAGTACTAAAACTTTAGCAAAACGCGCTCGTTTGTGCTAACATCTTTACTCTTACTACTTCCGAGATCCACTAAGAATGCTCTATTTAAATGCTTATGCCAAACCAACGCAGCATGCACTCTTGAGCAAGACGCATGATCAATACAAAAATCGTTCATTTGCGAATTGCGACCGAACAGGTAACATTTTTTCTGGTCTATCATTAACTTTTGAATAAGTTTGTCCCCTTTCAATACATCCAAATGAAGGCCTACGGGCGGTTTACCTGCCCTATGTAAATATATATGTATACACAGCTAATTAAAATGCTAGAAATACATACCAGTTCGGAATCTCGTAATGGTTAGCCATGTCCTTGCGTACTTATTTCATTACAGAACTCGCTATTATTTAATTCATTTCCATTCTTTTAAAATTATTTCCTTCCAAATAAGAATTGACTCACATACGTCATTAAATATCACAGACATCGAATTCTTCATTTGTGAGGTGGGCAAGACACGAAGGACATCCGCCCACCATCAACACCGGTTCTGTGGTGGTGGCATTACAACACCACAAGGTGAAAAATAAACAATGGATATTCTTATATTATTTATTGTTAATAGTATACAAAAAGATGGGATACAAATAAATAACTTAATGCTGTTAATCTGTGGTTTGTGATAGTTATTGGCATGTTTCTTAACATACTTTGCATCATATATGATGCTCACAGATAATAAAGGTGAGTTTTGATTTTGAATTAATCTTCAGCGATAATTGACGTAAGTCGTTGTGTGTTTTTTACGCTGTCTTTAATTTGCTGCTTTTTTATTTACACTCATAAATTAAATCAAAACGTCCTTGTCGTCTTCAGATGGCATGTTGTTAACAAATAGGTTATAAGCGACTTCTTTTTTCTTACCATTTGATGCCGACTTAATGACAACCGGTTCTTCCTCGACGTAGAACTTGTATTGCGAACCCGTCTCCACAAATTCGGTTTCAGGTTCAATTTTATCTCCGTCAACCCAAACATTCAGCGTCCTTTTGTCTAAAATGTCCCAAAAATAATAAACAAGAGTCATTTATACAATTGTTGCCTTTTTCGGTCGGTCTTTAGTGCTCTTCTTCCTTCGCAGATGGTTGCAGAATCCATATACAGGTTGTTTGTACATAACTTTATAAATATGTAAGATAAAATCTAATAAGCATGATTTTAAAGAGAAAAAGGAAAGGGACTGTCATTATCGCGTTCAATTTACATTATATATATCAGAGACGCCCTATTTACGTACCTAAAACTATTCTGAATCGTTTCCCTTTGATCACCACAGACCAAGACTTCATAACTTTCTCCTGTTGTTCGCAATATTTTTCGAGAGGTAAACCGTCCACCCACAGGCTATAAGAAAATGCAAAATGAGCGATAGGGTCGACTCTCAGTTCGCATTTTGTTTCGTGTTTGCCCAAAGTGAATTTTATATCGCCCACTAATTTGAACATCCAATCTTTGTGTAATACTTCCTTGAAAATCCACAAAATAACCATTTCAGGGCAGGAAATGTACGCATCGGGATTACCTTTCCGTCTATCCTCAACACTCTTTTGCCGGAGGTAGTCCCATGATCGAACTCGACTGTGTGCACTCCATCCAGAAGTGGTACACTCCAGTAAGCCACCAAATTCGACCTGTCCGGAGATCCCAAAGTACTCTGACTTGCCATGTAAATCGAATAAGGCGCGAAACTGAAATAATAAATAAATGTAACAATAATAAATAATATCCAGATGTAATAATATGTGCTGAAGCATGGCACATTTTATAAACAACAGTAGAATAAATAAAGCGGATGGAGTGATCATTTATGTTAAAAATGAATGGCAGTATCAAAACGTAAACGAACAATTTAATGAATTAACGAATAAAAGTATTTTCAAAATCTCTGGAATTTATCGTTGTCATGATTATGAAATCAAGAAGTTCATTAATGGTCATGAGAAATTCATAGCAAGCTACAAAGACGTTACAAATCACATAATAATGGGAGATGTTTACTTGGATATTATTGATATATTGATTGATTAGTATTAACTGGCATCATAAAGTCAGGCAAAATAATTGATTCAATTTCCGACCACTACCCTGTGTTGGGTTCGGTTTGTGGGAATAATATAAAATGCAAACTTCAAGAAACATCGGAAATAAATAAGAACAAATTCTGGAAATTATGTGTCTCTGAAAATTGGCAACAAATTTTGCAAACACCTAATAATGAAGAAGCGTTAGATATTTTAATAAAGAAAATTCAAAAGGTCTATAAGCTATCACTTAAGTCCCTGATGAGGGCAGCTAAAGATAGGCATGAGGATAGACATCTGCAGAATGCTGACTCCAAAACAATGTGGCAATATGTAAATAGTAAATTAAAACTAAACTGAATGAAAGTGTGACTCTTCAAATAATACTGGAGGGTTTGATGACATTCATGCCTACATAATTAAGTTAGCTGCAGGTCAGGTCAGGTCGTACTAAGTTTAAGGCAATTTGGTTTCCTCAAGAAGAAAGCCACAGATGATGCTATAGCTTTACTTAGCAAAGTTATATATGAAAACTGAAGTCTTAGCCTACCAACAGTTGTGATTTTTTTAGACTTCACAAAAGCTTTTGATACAGTTGATCACGTTATACTAGTGTCCAAGTTGCAGAATATGGGAATAAGGGATATAAGTTTGTCCTTGATAGCAAGGTAGACGCCAAGTTGTAAGGGTAAATGCTATTAAAAGTCAGCAAGTTGAAACAAATGTCGGAGTGCCTCAGGGCTCAATACGTGGACCAATATTGTTCATCTTATATATAAATGATTTGTTGGTTTTGCACGATACCTTAATAGCATAGCATAGCAGTACCAATAAAAGCAAAATCATGGCCCGAACTTTCAACAGCCATGTCATCAACTCTGGATATTATATACTCTTGGCTCTATCAAAATAAACTGGTACTCAACACAGACAAGTCGGTTTTTGTTGGAAACTATAGAGGCTCTGTTTCACAGGATATTGAAATCAAGATTAATGGTGTGAGTCTGAAAAGAGCTACCAGTGGTAAACATCTGGGAATAACTTACGTCTATAATATAAAATGGGATGTTCACGTGTCTAGCATAAAAAACAAATACTTAGTATATGTTTTTATAGACTCAAGGAAGTACTAACAAGAAAGCAGGTATTACAAATTTAGTATGGTCCATAGTGTCGCTGTGTATGCAGTGATAGGCTGGGGAGTTCTCTACAGTTTTTCGTTTGATCCGTTGGATTAAAGGAATAGACCACTGAGTATGAAACAAGTTTTTGTGGTGAATTCAATAGTGTACCAATACAGTGAATTACAATATATATACCTTTTTCGAAATGGAAATCGTTTTCCGAAAATTTCGCATTTTTTAATACTCAGATTAATTTTAATCGTTTGTGTGTTTATCACAAATGTCCAGCAATTTTTGATGAACATGCCAAATTTTAAAGTAAACAAATAAAATAAATAATAAAGGATACGCGATTAAACTAAAAGAAAAGATACAAACATCAGACGTAGCGGATACGATGATTGAATGGAGCGCCTTTGCGGAGGAGGGCCGAACTAATGCAACAGAGAAAGTTCTAACGTACGATCTGGACACATTTATATTTAGCACACTATCCGCAGCGTTGATTCGAAAAAGTTAAACACTCACCCCGATGCAGGCAAAAATTACTTCAACGCGTTACTTGCCGGTGGATATTCGCCGATATTCCGGAAATTGCGTTTTCAATATTTCATCGATTTAACCTTGATTTTCTTATAACGGTGGTCCGTCGATTAGCGGTGGGGATGAGTTTATGTTTGTATTCTGTGTTGTCATGTAAAACTGGGTTACTGTCATCTGTGCGCTATTAGCGACTAGTACACGAAGCGCATATTTTAGCAACTCGCAGAAAAGTTTGCGTGAGTTGAGTTGAGTCCGCATATGCAGAACTAAAAAGAAAGCGGACGGCAGTATCGACAAAATGAGAAATAAATCTTGTAATTGAGCTCTTTTAAAGTTACGAAATTCAATTTATTTAAAACTTTGTCTGACACGCCATTAAGATCGATAACTTGAACTACTATAAAAGGAGAGATACCTTAATCTCCACCGTATACTGTCCAAGACAAGATTTTACACACCGTAAGAGATACGGAGATGGTTGAATTAAAAACAGGTTTTTGGAGTATCTAAGCCGATTTTTTTTAGTTTTTTAATAGCACTTTTAACTTTAAAATTGCATTGATAAATAATAATCGGTGTAACGGTTACTGACCATGGATTGTCGTGACGTTACTTTTGACAACTGTCAGTCTTCAGAGATGTTATCCTTATCCTCCGCTCACCATGCGTTACGGAACTTTTATTTCTTTTGAGTTATTGATTTTTCATTATATAACGTTTTTGTTTCTGACAAATTTGATTAAACGCGAATGTGCAGTTCGACGAGTTTGCGATTTCCATCAGGCCAAGAATTTATGGTGCAAATTTTAACGAAATGTTCTGTTAGACATGGCAACATAGCATGTTAACGTTCCTGCCGTAGAAACCCCTAGGATTTAGTCTATCCTTAGCACTCAATACGTATCGATGCGCCAGCGCCCTGTCCTCAGGCAACGCACGATAAGCGGCATTGTAATAATTTGAAGTCGTTACAGAATAAATCTTTAGTTTCTAAACTAACGTATTCATTTAACTGTCGCACGAACCCCCGACAGAACACGAAATATGCGAAGAAAGCGTTGTACTTTTAGTGACTCGTGTAAAATAAATGTCAAAAATTGCATAAAAATTCAGTGGCGTACGTCTGGGACGGCGATGAATTTCGCAGTAGTTATGCGGGAATACCAAAATAAGTAAATCGACTTTGGAACAAACAATTTTTATTAAAACGTGAGTTGTCTGGCAGGCAGGAGTTCTCCCCTACATTCGCCGAAACCTACGTTGAAATCGTCGCCCTGACACACCCCTTTTATGATGACGGTGTCGCCGTCCTGTAGGAATTTTCGCTGGCTTCCATCTGACAACTTAAGCGGTTGCGTACCTTTCCACGAAAGTTCCAACATTGATCCGAAAGAATCGGATGCCTAGCAAAAAAGAGTTACATAAAATAGTTTCAAAAATAAATAAATATAATCCTTTTTATAATGGCGAACAATTAAAAAAAGACTCTTTCTTAGATACCTAGAATTTGTTTAATAAAAACTTACGTCACCACTGATTGTTCCGCTTGCCATTAAATCGCCAGGATTGACGTTGCATCCTGTGATGGTATGGTGGGCTAGTTGTTGCTTCGGCGTCCAATATAAATGTTTAAAATTGGAACGGCACACAGTGGTCGATACCTTCGATCCTTTGGCTACAGGATGAAACAAAATATGATTGGAATACATGGTAAAAAATAAAAACCCCTGCCGCCATCTATCCGCCAAAAGACGAACAGCGGTCGACCATTAGAATTAGATACTTTCGGCTCCGCCGAGATGAGCCACATATGACAAGGCGGTGTTAGTCGAAGACGAAAAGATGGCCGTTGTAATTTTCCGTTATTTGACATTTCAATAGCAAATTGTTTCAAGTTCGGTTTCGTGTTCTACTACGCTAATGGATTTGATAGTTGCTACAGCAGGAATTTGGTTAATCAAAAAGTCGAATTGGCGAACGCCAGCGTTAACAAGATTTGAACACCTCCCTCCTAGAAATTTTAAATCGAAATTTTGGCGATTGGTATTTTACAATGTATAGGATATCGAAGAGGTTCCAGACCATGTCTTAACTGCTAATGTGAACTGCGTAAAAGTGTTTATATTGTGATAGAGTTTATAAAACCTTACGGAAGTATTATATAAATTTTGTATTATACAACTTTGAATACAATTTCAAAAATTTTCAGAAGTGACCCTTGAGGAATAATTTGCAAAGATGTGAAGAAACATGACGAAGAACTCATCCTCCGAAGAAAGTGACGTCAAATCAGACAGTACAGTACCGGCAGAAAAAATATCTTTCATTTGCATTATTTATTTATGTGTTACTTACTAAACAAATGAATAAAAGCTTCACAAGAAATGATTTGAGTTTTATTGCTAACGAAAAAATAACAACTGACTACAAAAATAAATTTATTAATTTGATGCCTGGGTTTTTATTTGTATTTAAGTTCTTTAAAAACAGACCTTTTATGACACGGACCTTATATGCGTGTAAAATTAAAAAAAAATACAAACATCGCATAATTAGTTTATCTCATATAGCTATAAGATAATATAGTGGCCCTACTACGGTAAAAAGTAGGTGTGGATCTTTTGCGCATATGTCACGCCTCAACTAACTGAGTTTTCACATTTCCGTAATTTTTCTGAAAAAATTGACTAACTTTCATAAGAATGCAAAATCAGTCTTTGAAATCCGAATATAATTGGCAACGCCGCACTAGGAACTGCTATTGTCAGAGTCTACTAATAATCTCTGCCATTATTTACATTTTTGGTGGTTATGATTCTGTCGTTACATTCTACGTGTTTTTGTGAAAAACTTGTTGTGTTTGTGGTCAAAACTGTAAGGAAAATAATGTGATTATATACGGGTAAGTGTTGCCTTATGTGCAAGTTAATTTAAAAGATTTAAAAGTGGTTTCTATAGTCACATTTCGTGAATTCGACTTTATTTACATTTTCTATAGACCAATAAGTTTATTAAAACATTCTGTTTGCTCCGATTTACGGGCACAAATTCGGGAAAAATTAGCTGGTATCGTGTCTATAGCGCTTAAAGAACCAAAACGCTAAAATACTTACAGAATTAATATTGTTAGCTCTGCACTTGTCGCTATTTTTTTAACAACACTTTCTACACCTTAGTTCCATTTTTGCGTGAAGATTTAATGCGATTTCGACATAATTTGAGAAATTACTGCATCCAGCCATTGACGACCTGCCATCGGCCATGTTGGTTGTTGGAAACCGCAAGGCCTTATGGGTAGAACGTCAGAAAATGAAATTACAGCTGTCATTGGTTAAAAACGAAATTTCAAATCTCGCGCACGCGCACATTGACCAGACCTTCTAAAAATTTTGTTACGTAGTTGTTTCACAAGTTCGTGTACTATTAGCTTAGGCAGGGCCTCTATATGTCTCGTAGCTATATGGTTTATCTAGTAGAGCAAATCACGTTGGCGCAGGGAACCATGACGTCATCGTATTCTTTACTAAGTAATCGGACTCTAGCCGAGCATTATTAAGTGTAAGGCTTAATTTTGTTTAAATTTAATTTCGCTTCACCTTCTTTCTCCTTTACTCACTTATTATTATTATTATTACGTTTACTTCAATGATTTTCAATCTATACCACCTTAACGGGGCCAAATTACATGTTCTTGACTTACGCTTGATGTCTACTTGGAGACTAATGTCGAAATTGAAATTGTCCGTGTGTTTCAAGTACGGAAACGGTTCCGGATCTTGCGGGTAATTGTCCGTCACGAACGGTTCCAACGCAAAGGTGGTGACTACCCACGGGGATATGGTGGTACCCAAATTTTTGGCCGTGAACGGTCCCAGCGGCACGTACTCCCACTTCTGAATGTCACGCGCTGAAATGTACTTCGTTATAGAAACGTATAGTCGCCCCGGAACCATAAGAGAGTAAAAAAATAACAACAGCAGTTTAACTTTTACAGGAACCGTAATATCACGCAGATTTCATACTACTCTCTTATAATAATGGGGTTAGTATACTATAGTTGCGTACCGCTCCAGTCGTTCATTAGAACGAAGCCGAAAATGTGTTCGTGCGCGTTGCGCACGTTGATGGGTTCGCCGAGATTGTTGGAACCGCCCACGAAAAATGCCATTTCCAACTCGAAGTCCATTAATTTGCACGGTCCGAACACAGGTGGCGCGCCTGTAGGAATATTCTCAAATAACGCGGGCCAAAAATTTTTAAACTTTTGAAAGTTGATGAGTGATAATGAATTTTTAGACTCTTAAGCCTTAAGACTAGGACAAATAAATTCATCACCAGTTGCCGAACACAATCACGAAACCCGACGTAAAATTTTATTCGATTAAACTAAAATTCTTGCATGTAATCAATTCTTCTACCAACGAGAGTCTAGAGAAGTCTATAAACGGCTTAACAATCTTAACCGCGACTCAGGTCTCTACCTGTCACCAATATGGGAATCAGTCATCCGAGAAGATGTTTATGCCTCTCAAACAATATATAAGCAGGCACATAGTAAAAATAAATTAGAACTAAAAGTTCAGATTTTCACGAAATTATATAGTAAAATGCGAGTCAGTTTTCATTCAACTTCTGAAGAAGCCAACAAATACCGACGTAAGAGGAATAAAATTATTACAGTAGCCAGTGGAAGTTTCTTTGAAAGATTAGACTCTTATTATTATTAAGTCGTAATTGTAGTTTCGTTATTATTATAATATTCGGTTAATATTGTTTTAAAATGTTTTTTTTTATTTAAAAAAGGACAGTTCTTGTAACAAATCATCTTAGTAACGTGCGAGGTTAGCGCCAAAATTTCGCGGTCTGACATAGATGCAGCTCCAGTATCACGATAAAATTTGAAGTCTTGCGTCAAATGGTTTTTTTATTGACAGCATTTTAAACAAGACGTGTCGGAAAAAATGCCGCAAATAACGCAAATTGAGTATAGAGCAGTCATAAAGTTTTTGACAAAAGAAGGGTTAGCACCTAAAATTATTAAAGAAAGGCTGGATGGTGTGTACGGCCAAAGTGCTCCTTCGTCTTCTGTAGTGAAAGAATGGGCAAAACGTTTTCGAATGGGCAGGAGTCCCTTGAAGGCGATTCAAGAACTGGTTAACCAGTGTAGGTCATAACGGAGGATATTGTTGCGATTGTGGAAGAGGTGGTATTGAGTGATCGACGTTTAAAAGTCAAGGAAATCTCAATTACTAAGCTTTCTGATACAAGTGTTCGTCGAATCTTGCATGATCATTTAGGTATGCATAAGGTTAGTGCAAGATGGGTTCCCAAAAACCTTTCGGCTATTCAGAAACAACGCCGCGTCGAGCGTGCGCGGTCTTTTTTGGAACTCTGTGGGTCGGAACCGAAGCCTGTAATAGAAACTATTGTGACCGAAGATTAAACTATGGTTCTCTATTATGACCCTTTATCGAAAAAAGAATCAATGGAGTGGCGTCGTAAGGGTGAAGCACCTCCAAGAAAATTCAGAGTCTGCCAGTCAACAGAAAAGGTGATGGCCACGATCTTTAGGGATTGTGAAGGAATTCTTTTGATAGATTTTAAAGAAACTAATACCACTGTCAACGGTAAATATTACGCAACATTATTACATAAATTGCGAGACTGCATAGGTGTAAACAAAGGCGTGCGTCTTTTGCACGATAGTGCACCTGTCCATACTGCTAGTGTTGCACAAGCTGCCAATTTAGAGTGTGGGTTCCAACAGATAGATTATCCTCCCTATAGTCCATATGTGGCGCCCAGCGACTATTATTTGTTTGGATATTTGAAAAAGGGCTTGCGTGGACCGCGGTTTAAGGACGAAGTTGAGTTAAAAGAGGCTGTTTTTCCTCATTTTGCAGACAAACCAAAAGAATATTTTTTTAAAGGGATTGAGTTGTTAGTAAGTAAATGTAATAAGTGTTTTGAAGTTAAGGGGGATTATATTGAAAAATAATAAAAAATGTTACTCTACTTTGTTTCTTTCGGGAAATTTTGACATCGTATATACTATGATTGACACTTAACCTATAATACATGTGCCATGTTTATTGAAGGGTCAACCCTCAAACCATTTGTACCTGAGGTAGACGAACTCCACAATTGGTACAGAAGGAACCCACAAGATTTCGAACAGATTACACTAATCGAAATTTGCGAATCCTCCAAAGAGATGGTTGATAAGCTGGAATCGATTTATCAACAGAAGTCTGAGGTAAATAAACTTATGGCACAATAAAATGGGCCCTACTGATATAATAGAAAAGCATGATGCCAGAATTGAGAATTTTGCGCAACAAATCAAAGATTGTCGTGGTCATGTTAGTGATTACAAAGATTTTGAATTATTTGCCACAAACTGTGAAGAAGTTGACAGCAAGGCTTATAGATGAAGAACGGAGTATAATGGTAATAGAAGAAGAGAAGGAGGCACCAGCCGCTATGACATTAAATACCAACAAAGAGACACAGAATACAAGTAAAAAGAAAAGATTTTAATTCAAACGTTTTAACTGCCATAAAAGGGGACACATGTTAAAAGAGTTTAAGGCTCCCGGGCAGTAAAATGAGAAGAATGTTAGCTCTAAGAAACACGAAACACCCGTTAACATTGATGTACAGGAGTTTAATCTAATTTTATGCGATGATCATTGCATCTTGGGCAGTGTTGCATGGGCTTAAGAATCCTTCCTATGTTTACCTGGGACATAGTGAAATCCTAAAGGTAAAAGGAAAACGGAACGACTCTGTTATAAACAATATACTTTTCATCCCAGACCTAAAAAAGAACTTATTATCGGAAAAAGTTTTGACCACTAAGAAGATGATGATAATAAAGCATGGGAAGTACGCAAAAATCAAATAACCTCTATAAAATGCTTATCCGTACAGTTTGCGCTACAAGAGAAGTTTCTGTAGCTGAAGAGGTCAGTGAAACATTACACACCTAGCATGAAAGGCTTGGGCATATCAATAACTCGTACCTGAAAAAGATGGTCACTAGAAACTTAGTTACCCGCTCAAAAATGACTAATGTAGACAATTTTGAATGTGAGGCTTGCATACTTGGCAAGCAACAGAGGGAAACTTTTAAGAAATCAATAACGCCTCCTTATAGTGAACGCCGTCTGTGTCTGTGGCTTTTTAAAGACAGTTGGTCAGAATAAATAATAACTAAAAGTTCAGATTTTCACGAAATTATATATTATGACATGACAATTGTTTCGACAACACCGTGTCTTTATCAAATGTCACATCAATATCACATCTGATAAAGACACGGTGTTGTCGAAACAATTGTCATGTCAGTTCAACAGTTGGTCAGCCTACCAGGAAGCTTATTTCATCAAGCACACACTTTTGAATGTTTTGTTGAATTCAATAGTAAAATCAAAATCAATCAATAGTTAAATCAAAAATAGCTTAAGCGATCTCATAGATCTATTAGTTTACCTTTTTAATTACTCAAAAAGTGGGAGTGGTATGAAACGGGTTTTCACATTTAAAAAAGGACAGTACTTGTAACCAATCATCTTTGTAACCTATTTTTTTAATAAAGTAGTAGTAGAAACATCAAGATCTTAAGCTAGACTTAGCCGTTTGAAACGTGTTTGTATTGGTATTAAGTAATTTTGTTTTAATCTTGTGCAATAATTTAAATTATCCCAGTAAAGACTATTATGATTATTACTATTATTATTATTATTATTGGTCTCAGATTTCTAATGCTTTGCAGATATTGATGATGTGATATCCTACTTCACCTGAGCTCAAAAACTTTTGAACAATGTGACATGTCTGGAGTATTATAGCTTTTTGTGATGCATCAAAGATATTATTTTGCATGTCTTGTTTTTCCAGGGTTTTCAATTCCCTTCGTTGACATAACCAACATATGGCATATGACATATGGTTACATCGTTAAGACGCCAGAATTGTTTTAGCTGGATAGCCAGGTCTTCATATTTTAGAACATTCTCAGCATCCGTAGATCTCAAATTGTGGATCAAGGGTATGGCAATATTAATGATTGTCTCTTTCTTTCCCTGTTGTTGGTCTGTTGTGAGCGACCATCGTATCGGACGACCACAGTATAGCAGATGTAATCTATTTTCGAGAAGTGATTTTGGTTCATATTGATTGTGCCTTCCTAAACAAGCATTATCTGCTACATTTATCAATGGTGTTGATTTTCAATATATGTTTTTCGTAATTTCTAGTTCTAATCACCTTGTGTTGTATAGCGTTAAGCCCTCAGTTTCAGCCTAAAAATAGCCCTTATGAAGCCACTGTAGTAATCATGTTTTGTCGATGAATATATCTTCGAGTGTTAGAGGGTATTTACCACGAAGTTCTTTTTCCTTCTAAGTTTGCATTTCCTGATGTAGCGTAGATGTTATATCGATTACTATTGGCATACATAAGTAGAAGCATTTTTTATAGATTGGATGAAATGATGAAACCCCCTGCCACTTTCTGTTTTACAGATGAGTTGGGGTGTAAACATCTGAATTTGGCGAGTTGTTCTATCCAAGCCTTCCAAGAGCCGGGCTCCAGGCCTGCGATGCCTGATGGTTCCTTTCTTGATTTCTATAGTTGCGCATTTATCCGATCCAAATGACACCTTCATATCGTCACTGAATATTTTCACGGTAGCAATGAGACTGTTCAGTTTTGATCGATTTTCTGCATACATTTTTAAGCGATCCCTGATTAACATATGGTTTATTTTAAGGTTAAATACCAACATGAAATGAAGTCGCCTTGGAAAATGCCTCTTTTGATATTATTATTATTATTTTATTATCGTTTCAAAAGAATTGTATGTGTTTTGAGAGAAATCTATCCTATAGATGTCCAACGCCTTAATATTTGGGTTAAATAACATTTAAAAATTTCAAATTACCATCCACAACCAAGGTTTGGCCGTTGGGTCGATGAATGGGAGTACCGGAAATGACCACCGAACTCGCTCTTCCGTGGTATCCTACGGGTAAATATTTCCTTAAATTCGGAAAACGTACAGTCAAAAAAAATGCCATTAAAAGTTCGCCATTATTACCAGTTAGGCAGCAACGCGTTGTTTTTGTCCCTAAACATAATTCCTACGTTGGTGGCGTGATGGATGGAAGAGTAGAAATCTGTATAATCTCCAATGCGTGCTGGCAGGTGCATCGTAGCTTCTGATTGAGGAGTGAACGCTCTAAACAAATACTTTAGATTCTTAGAACAGAAAATAACATCGCACCATATTTTGAAGCCTCTACCGTTGTGCTCACCTTGACCGTAAATCTCCATTGTTTTGCAGAATTGGTTCGTTCTCGGACAGTAATATGGTGATCGTTTCTCTAGCCTCCTTCCAAGCTTGATGTCCAAGCGCCATAAACTTGTTCAAAGTGCTCTAAAAGTTGGATATTGTTTCAAAGCTATGTGGCCTGTTGGTGGTATATGAAAGCTCACCTCCCTAAATACGTCCTGATTGCCTTTTAAAACGGGTCCATTAAATAAATGGGCCACTTCGTTTAAATTTAAAATTAAGTCGCCTATGGCCACCCCAATTCTCGGCGTGTGCTGGAAATAGGAGAACAAATATGGTTTCCAGTTTGTAGCGGGGATAAAAATAGTGAACATAATTGGAACGCACGCCGCCAAAGTGTACGTTATGATTTGGATATCTCTTAATAAATGAATATACACATGATCCCTGAGCAGTATCTCAGCATGGTGGAACCTAACAGCTCACTATATTCCATGTACGAGGTTAGCGCCCAAATTTCCCGGCCTGACATAGATGCAGCTCCAGTATGACAATAAAACTTTTTTTAAATATATATCTCAGCAGGCGGCGAAAAAAAAATTGAAGTCTGCGTCAAATAGTTTTTTATTGACAGCATTCTAAACAAGACGTGTCCGAAATGACGCAAATAACGCAAATTGACTATAGAGCAGTCATAAAGTTTTTGACAAAAGAAGGGTTAGCACCTAAAATGATTAAAGAAAGGCTGGATGGTGTGTACGGCAACGTTTTGCTTCGTACTCTGTAGTGAAAGAATGGGCAAAACGTTTTCGAATGGGGCAGAAGTCTCTTGAAGATGATTCAAGAACTGGTCGACCAGTGGATGTCATAACGGAAGATGTTGCGATTGTGGAAAAGGTGGTAATGAGTGATCGACGTTTAAAAGTCAAGGAAATCTCAATTACTAAGCTTTCTGATACAAGTGTTCGTCGAATCCTGCATGATCATTTAGGTATGCATAAGGTTAGTGCAAGATGGGTTCTTAAAAACCTTTCGGCTATTCAAAAACAACGCCGTGTCAAGTGTGCGCTGTCTTTTTTGGAACTCTGTGGGTCGGAACCGAAGCCTGGGATAGAAACTATTGTGACGGGAGATGGAACTATGGTTCTCTATTATGACCCTCTATCCAAAAAAGGATCAGTGGAGTGGCGTCGTAAAGGTGAAGCGCCTCCAAGAAAATTCAGAGTCGGCCAGTCAACAAAAAAGGTGATGGCCACGATCTTTTGGGATAGTGAAGGAATTCTTTTGATAGATCTTAAAGAAACTAATACCATTTTCAATGGTAAATATTACGCAACATTATTACGTAAATTGCAAGACTGCATACGTGTAAAACGTCGAGGAAAACTGACCAGAGGCGTGCGTCTTTTGCACGATAATGCATCTGTCCATACTGCTAGTGTTGCACAAGCTGCCATTTTAGAGTGTGGGTTCCAACAGATAGATTATCCTTCCTATAGTCCAGTTATTGGCCAAAGTGATTATTATTTGTTTGGATATTTGAAAAAGGACTAACGTGGACGGCGGTCTAACGACGAAGCAGACAAACCAAAAGAATATTTTTTTACAGGGATTGAGTTGTTAATAAAGATATGTAATAAGTGTATTGAAGTTAAGGGAAATTATATTGAAAAATAATAAAAAATTGTTACTCTACTTTGTTTCTTTCATATTCAGGCCGGGAAATTTTGGAGCTGCCCTCGTATATTTTAATTTTTATTCTGTTTTTCTTATCAACAAAAAATTAGTGAAATATACAATTTTTGCGGAATTTCGCTTGTCTGTTTTGGCAGACATTGATGGTACACCAATGATTTCTTTTAATTTAAAATAAATCATTTCTAAAGAAATTTAATTTCTTGATTTTTTCAATCCAATGTAGGGTTTCCGCTTAACAAAATAAAAATATCTTCTCTCGTTTATGCAGAGAAATTAGTTTATATTTTCAAGTTTCTTGAGATTTTTTTTTTTTGAAAAATAAAATATCTATCTAAAACAAAATCTCTAGTTTTTATGCCCTTCATAAAAAAAATTAAAAGACTGTTTTTTTTACTTTTACAGTTTTAATGAAATAACATAACGTCCCAACAACAAAATAAATAACAAACGATTATTATTAAAAAAAAAAAAAAAACACTACCTACTATAAATAATTCTTAACAAAATTGTTCTATAGTGTGCTCATCTACAGTGTGAACTGGGGTGCGATAAACCAGACTTTTAAGTGGTACTTCTACCAATACTGGCAATTCCTCATCTAAAATCGATAATAATTATAGCCATTTAGCCTATTTTGCAGGAAAAATGATCCAATAAAGTAATTTTTAACAATTCCAGCCCAAATATTTACCGGTAGCTCCGCCTGTAAATAGTTTTTCTAGGTCGAACAAAGGATAATGCGAAATTTTGTCCAAAAATCATTGACAGAATTTAACACGCAAAGAAAAATTTATGGGAAGTCACACTTGGATTGGTTGAATATGATATAGGTATAATAATAAAGCAAAAACAAATAATATAAAAATAAATATCAAAAAATATATAAATATAATTAAAACAAAAATGAAAACCATAAAATTGACCACAAAAATCGCCCGCTTACCTTACCTACCCTTGCCAATATACCTACAAAACCATAATATAAAAAAATAATCTAAGAATGGACCACATTCTTAGTACCATATGGTTCCAGAAAAATAACTACACCGGGTTTCCCATGGTTACAAGTTTTATAAGGAACAAATATGGCCATAATTGGCCCTGACATACAATTTAAAAATATTTTTGCTTTTGCAATGTTGCCAGTTCTACCTAAAATCAGTGGCAACATTGAAATATATAGTTTTTTATTGCATTTTCGAATTCAATATAAAAATTTACACAACTTCCACCGCCAGTTTGTTCTAAAAAAATTTTTAATTACAATATTTTATACAGTCGACCTTAAAAGAGTGTTTTGAAGAAAAAAGTTTTGAAAGAAATATAGTAATAATAAAATGCGAGGAATACCTACATATTGCCTAGGCCCTCAAATTATCTACAAAATGATTATACTTGTTCCTGTAGCTATCTCTTACCATTTTTAAAGATATTCTCTATTGTTATAACAATTTACGCTTTAAAGGCGATTATGAAGATTACATGTGTTCGGCCATGTATGGCTCACCGGGAACGGTATCACTTATCAATCAATTGGAGTTCCTTGGCGCAAAATTACAAGAAAAGATATCTGGAGCTTGAACGACGTTAAGTCTTGAAATTATGCAAAATAATCCATATGGTTCTGCTGAAATCCATCCATATTATACAGTTGTTAGTAGAAGTTGCAGATTGTTTAATGAAAGATCTGTATTTGCCTCTTATGAATCGTACTAAATTCAGATATTCACTTGAAAAAACGACTTTTGGTTTTTATTTATTTATTGTTGTTTAAATTTTTATGTCGAACTCGAAAATGCTATAAAAAACTGTATGTTCTATTTGAAATTTTAGTGTTTCACTGACTTCTGGTAAATTTAAATTGTTCGTCAGGGTCAGGCAAGTTTCACAACAAAATATATTTTGTAAAGATGAAAACCACAAAAAATGAAACAAAAGGTTTTTTTTGGTCGCTGCATCTTCCACGCATACATTTCTTGGTGAAAGTGTAGCGGAAAGTCCAACTTAACACACGTACTTCAAAACTGATTTCCTTTCATCAAATGTAAACCTTACGCAGCAAAAGAAAAAAAACTTCCTTTACCTAACAGAAAATTTCTGGCCATAATTTGGATTTGATTTGCTTCTTAAATGAAGAATATTACAATTTGCTTGTGAAAATATGTTTTTTTAGGTCAACAGGAACTAGCTACTTTTTGCTCTTAATAAAAATTATTTCTTATTTTTTCCGCAAGAACACATCAGTTTCTGAGCTGTGAAAAATTACTCTTTTGACATGTTTCATGAGGAAATTTACGTAAAAATGCAACTTTTTTTAGATCTGCTACTGCACCACAGATGGCGCTAAAAAAATTAAGCGGGGTTGTCACGAGCTCGACAAAAGTAACCATCGAATTTTATACGTCAATTAAATAAACGTCAATTAGTTTGCAAGTTATGGACTTTTAAACAGTGGATACATTTTTTTGAATCCCCCAAAATTTCTTCAACTCGACGATAATAAGCACCATTTGACAACATCGGAGGCATCCACCGATATCGATCGACCGTGTAAACATAACCAAAACAAACAGCAATTAAATATCGAAAGCTTTATTGCGGCTGGAAGCAAAGGTGGAATTGAAAAACTCACGTGACTTTCGGTAGAAAACACGCCGTAAGGCAGATTTTCGATGGGAAAATCGCAGTATTTCTGGTATTTAACGAAAGACTTCATCGCGCCGTGTCGAGTTGTTTACTAACCATCTAAGGTCGACGCAAGGTCTCGCACTATCTCGCCGCACCGGATTTAATTCCGAAAACGTGTTTGAATAAATATTAATTAATGCAAATTTTTGAAAAATATCGCGTTTGCATACAAGTTACAGGATTCGTCGGTAACTTGGTGGCCCTATAGGTAGCTGCGTATTATTTCCTGATTGCTAATTGCAAAACTAAGTATATATAATACATGATATTATGTCCGTAGGTTTTGTCAAAAAATGTCACGATTATACTATCATTTTTGTAGATATGTATATGTATTACGTAATGTTGGAAAAGTGAAAATTGAGTATCACTCTGTACGAAACAAGTAAGAAGTGAACAAGAACAAGTAAATAATAACTAAAAAAATAAACTATAAAAAATACATATATCCAGCAACTCTTGGATGAACAAGTCGGATATTTTGGTTTGTACGAGCCTATTAGAAAAGTTTATAGTACTTATAGCTTTCAAGGTTACAAAAAGAATTCCAATCTTGAATTTTGAATCTTCCTCAATAATCTCCTTGTTCAGCTTATCTTCACTGATTTCTGCATTTATTTCTGAAAAAAATTATGTAAATTACTTAAAACATTTTCCAAGACATATAGGAATTTCACAATACCCGCACATAAAGCAAGTTTCTCTCCTTATGCCCTGAATTTTGCAAACTTTGTACCGTTTCTGTGGATTTTTTTTCCCGAACTTTTAAGTTTTACAAGCCTATGTGATTTTATATCTCTTGAAAGCCTACTTGGTGGATCTTCACGAGAAGCTCTTTTTGATGGGCCTTCTAAACCCACATTTTCTTGATTTTCGACCCAACTTCTAGCAACTTCTAGTAAATTTTATTTTCTTTGCCGGGTTCAATTTCTTGTATATCACAAATGAATTAAATAATGCGCAGTTCAACATAAACATAAAAGCTTTTTTTTCCATTTGAGACTTTCTCTTATAATAGGATTATAAGAAAGGTATTGGTCTGCCAAATCAACACCGTTCATATACTTATTGTAATGTATAATACTTTCTGGTTTCTTAATAATTTCACCAGTTTTACGATTTATTTTATCTGTTTCTATAAGCCGAGCCTGATGTATCGTCGAGATCATTCTGACATGCATCTCGTCTTTCCATACATGAATTAAAATTTCTTTTTTTCTACGGAAAACATGATGGCCTCTTTTTAACTAATTTTTTTTTATATCTTGAGGTAACCCACGATTTTCTCTAATTCTATTCTTATCTTCCTGGAAAGCAAATGCTCTGCTAAAATTTGTGGAATCGTTTCCTCTGCGTCTTCTGGTTCAAGAATGTTTTCGGTCTTGTACACCGTTTTTGAAAGTCTTTTTTGTAGACGCACAAGCGATTTTTAATTTTTTTTAAAATACTTCCCGACCCCCCGGCCAATGGGGATTTTCAATAGGTTCCGTCACGGGGCAGAGCTGCAATATGCCAAATATGAAGTCGATTGCTTCAAATTTCGGACAATTATCGTGTTTCATAGCAAGGTCCAAAAAGCAGTCGAAAATCGCGAAAAAAAAATGGATACCGGCGTCGGACCATGGCCATTTCTTATAAGCTTATGTGCCTCGTGGAGGGTTAAAAAGGAGGCAACTTTCAATTTTCTAGCTCCAACGGTTCGAAAGTTATTCAAAAGACGAGAACGGAGAACGGACAGACAAAAAATAAAAAAAACATTTTCGACGGTGATCATTTCTGTACCAACGGCGATCCCGTAGGACTTACCGTTACCATTATATAAAATTTTTATACGAGCACAGATACTTTCGAAAAATTCGATGGTGTGTACGGCCAAAGTTCTCCTTCGTATTCTGCAGTGAAAGAATGAGCAAGACGTTTTCGAATGGGGCAGGAGTCCCTTGAAGGTGATTCAAGAACTGGTCGACCAGTGGAGGTCATAACGTTGCGATTGTGGAAGAGGTGGTATTGAGTGATCGACGTTTAAAGGTCAAGGAAATCTCAGAAATTACTAAGCTTTCTGATACAAGTGTTCATCGAGTCCTGCATGATCATTTAGGTATGCATAAGGTTAGTGCAAGATGGGTTCTTAAAAACCTTTCGGCTATTCAAAAACAACGCCGTGTCAAGTGTGCGCTGTCTTTTTTCGAACTCTGTGGGTCGGAACCGAAGCCTGTGATAGAAACTATTGTGACGGGAGATTGAACTATGGTTCTCTATTATGACCCTCTATCCAAAAAAGGATATAGTGGAGTGGCGTCGTAAAGGTGAAGCGCCTCCAAGAAAATTCAGAGTCAACAAAAAAGGTGATGGCCACGATTGTGAAGGAATTCTTTTGATAGATCTTAAAGAAACTAATACCATTTTCAATGGTAAATATTACGCAACATTATTACGTAAATTGCAAGACTGCATACGTGTAAAACGTCGAGGAAAACTGACCAAAGGCGTGCGTCTTTTGCACGATAACGCACCTGTCCATACTGCTGGTGTTGCACAAGCTGCCATTTTATAGTGTGGGTTCCAACAGATATAGTCCAGATATGGCCTCCAGCGACTATTATTTGTTTGGATATTTGAAAAAGGACTTACGTGGACGGCGGTTTAACGACGAAGTTGAGCTATAAGAGGCTGTTTTAGCTCATTTTGCAGACAAAGCAAAAGAATATTTTTTTAAAGGGATTGAGTTGTTAATAAAGAGATGTAATAAGTGTATTGAAGTTAAGGGAAATTATATTGAAAAATAATAAAAAAATGTTACTCTACTTTGTTTCTTTCATATTCAGGCCGGGAAATTTTGGAGCTGCCCTCGTATATTTTAATTTTTATTCTGTTTTTCTTATCAACAAAAAATTAGTGAAATATACAATTTTTGCGGAATTTCGCTTGTCTGTTTTGGCAGACATTGATGGTACGCCAATGATTTCTTTTAATTTAAAATAAATCATTTCTAAAGAAATTTAATTTCTTGATTTTTTCAATCCAATGTAGGGTTTCCGCTTAACAAAATAAAAATATCTTCTCTCGTTTATATCACAGCATGCAGAGAAATTAGTTTATATTTTCAAGTTTCTTGAGATTTTTTTTTTTGAAAAATAAAATATCTATCTAAAACAAAATCTCTAGTTTTTATGCCCTTCATAAAAAAAATTAAAAGACTGTTTTTTTTACTTTTACAGTTTTAATGAAATAACATAACGTCCCAACAACAAAATAAATAACAAACGATTATTATTAAAAAAAAAACACTACCTACTATAAATAATTCTTAACAAAATTGTTCTATAGTGTGCTCATCTACAGTGTGCACAGCTCATTTTGCAGACAAACCAAAAGAATATTTTTTTACAGGGATTGGGTTGTTAATAAAGATATGTAATAAGTGTATTGAAGTTAAGGGAAATTATATTGAAAAATAATAAAAAAATGTTACTCTACTTTGTTTCTTTCATATTCAGGCCGGGAAATTTTGGCGCTGCCCTCGTACATCCGAACTCCATTGTATATCAAAATAGAGGGCCGTCAATCACAAAAAAACTAGAGGAACAATGTACGGAGCGACATGAAAATACAAAAGGTTACATTTACAGATTTATTATCATTATTTTTTTTACATTTCATTTAAATACATTTATTAATTTATTCGATGCCTATGGGTAGTATGCAAATGGAAATCGTTCCTGGTACTTTATACATTTAGCGGATAAGTAGATACACGAAGATTTACAACGTTGCCAACTATTTGCTGTAGTGAAAATGAAAAACGAGAATTTGAATTTTACAACAAAATAAACAAAAATAAAGCCAATGTATTGAAAAGAATTAGGAATAGAAAAAAAATATAGAAGCTTTTTATTTCAGAAGACACGTGCCCATGTAAATTTTTAGGTGGCCCCTGTACATTTTATAGCAAATTCGTGATGTAGCTTTATACATTTTAACAATGACCGCACGATTGTTATCCGTTATTAAACGCGCTTTAATTAAAGCTAAATATTGAAAAAAATTGAAGAAAAGCAGTCTTATAATTTTGTCTCAAATGTTTTCCCCTAAACTGTACCTACTGTAAATGTTCTGCCGAAAATGTCGATAATAGAGCAGACGAAAGGGACGATAGAGATTTGAATATTTTACTGCATGCGGAGGAAAACAAAATGATTGGTAAGAGGAATCTTGGAAATCATCATCAAACATCAACGGGAATATTATTGGCCCAAGGTGCCGAATCCTTTAGCCATCCAGGTCACCTGACCTCTCGCCGATTGGCTGCTTTCTGTGGGGTCAGCTATGTCAGAAATGAATTTTATGATCGCTTAGGGATATTATTTAGCTGTTACATTTACTTGAAGAGTAATGGTTATTTTAAATGTTTCTTTTTAGCAATGTTTTGTAACTGTATTTTTATTTCTTGTTGCTGTCCGATTTTAATACTCAGAAAAACATAATGTTATCTACACCTATATACTTAGTTTATTTTGAATATTTGAAACCAAATTTGCATGTCTTTATTGTAAACCACCAACCTTTATTTTGTGTTTTTTGTATTGCCGTACAAAAGAGCTAATATTTGGGCACCTACAAATTTACATGGGATTTCCTATATTTCCGATATAAATAAGTCTGATAATTCCACTGTATGTACAAAAAGCTTTCGGCAATTTGCAGCTACTAAAATCATATCTTTTAGCGTGAAAAACTTCAAATGAATACACGAATCTACGAACTTCTCCCAAACGTTTTGCTAAGAAGTACAAAAAGTACCTAGTTGTGATAATTTTACAGGATTTTGCGTCTACTTAAACTAGATAACAAAATTTATGGACAGAGCACTTGCATATTATGATCGGAAACAAATTATTCTGTCTTCGAATATTTTTACATAACAAACAAACGACTATACAACATTATTGCATCAGCTACACATTTCGATTAGAATATAAATTTGTATCACTATATTTTTTATGAATTTATTCATTTTTAGTGAGTTTTATCTTTTTTTTTTCGGTTTTGACTTAGATATATATACTAGTTTAACGCCTTCTAAATATTTCAGATACATTTATACATCGATTCGTAAAACAAGAAGTTCCTAAGCTACGGGAAAAAAATAACACCATATTATACGCTTTTTCGCAAAACATTTTTTTTAGAATTTTTCATAAACAGTAAAAGTCATTTTGCCTATTCGTAATATATAGATGAGTACCAACAAGCGCAATAGAATAACAAGAACTTACACTCTTATCACTATACATCGAAGCAACAGGGAATATAGGCTCAGATTTGTTATCGTAACTCGAAAAACAGGCTCAGCAACAAAAAAAAAATTATCTCGAGAAATCTGGATTGCAAGTGAAAATTGCTGGTGTTCAGCTTACATTCCGGATGACCGACACAAAAATCGTTCTTTCGTTGTATGTATTGACCCAAAAATAATTTCTATCAGATCAGATCGTCTCCTAAAAGTAATAATCATTTAAATACCAATTCATAATTTCAAAATACGAAATACTTTAATATACCAATTGAAATAGAATGAGCTTTCGATTTTTGCTGTACTGCAAGCGGGTGAATACATACTATGGAAGATGCCGATTAATTTCAATAACAACTATCCTACAATGATATGTTCTTAATTGATAGAATTGGTTGGTTTCAAGTTCTCTTTTACGGGGAATCACTCCAAAATTAGTTCGATATTAAAAACAACTTATTCCTTACGCCAAAAGGATATTTGCGCTTAGAACTTTGTTTATTATCCAACACAGCATTATTGCTCAGTTGATTTGTGAGCAATTGATACATACATACGCCTTATATACCAATATATAAGTTTTAATTTAATTCAGTATCGATGCGATATTGGCGGTTTTTAACTGCGAATGGTAAACAACGACGTAATTATCAATGGTTTATGGTAGACCCTATCTAAATTCGTACTCTTTTTATTTAATTTAAAAACATTTTATTCTAACCCATTTCAATATTTTTATTTTTGACTCATGGTATCAGCGGGGTGCCAGAATGTATAAGAGACCAGTTTACATTGATTAATGATTTAATTAAGTAAAAAAAGTATTTCTGCCGCTGCTATATTTTATACCGAGAACTTTGAATTAGTTAAAAAGTTATCGAAGATTTAAGCGACTCATCTTTAAGAAATGCAAAAGCTCTTTTTTTCTATATCAACGGTGAAAGAACATTTAATATTTGTTCTTTTGTGTTCTTTTTATAGGCAATTTCGCGTATTTCGAAAGAGAACTGGATTTGTATAAATTAGAAACACGCTTAATTCCAAAATTAAAACAATGTCCGAGAACTTCGGCAGATATTGAGCAAAGTTTTTGCATTTTTAAACACGGAAAAGTGGCCCAATCTTCTTTTGGGAAATTTTGAAAAACATTTTTATAATTGCAAAAAAATTGTTTATTTTATAAATAGGAATGTTTTACAGGTTGCTATTATGTGAATGTAATTGTATTATTTATCTTTTTTTATTATCGCAAATAATAGTTCGTGACTATAAGATGTTTATGTGTTATATTGTGGTTTTTTCTTGGATTTTTTTCGCTCCTTGCTTATCGCACCAAAATAATCTACTTTTCGTCATAATTTAAAAATAAAATATATTGACTTTATTCGATTAACAAAACGAGAATATTTAAAAAATTTCCGAAATACACGCGAATCCCAAAAAATAGCAATAACTAACACGGGCTTTTTTGCAGTGGCTATACCTAGATATTAAAGGCAGGACCGGCTCCAGGTACTGGACGTCTCTTTCTTTTTGATATTTGCCATTGTTTTCTGATTATATTATTCTTTTTTTTGTATCTATGTGGGTTTATAATGTTGTGGAAATATCACTAGGCGGCACTATAATGTAGCACTAAAGGATATTTTGCCTTTGTTATTTAGCGGCAAAACGTTGATAATTTGCAGAAACGTAATCACTTTTAATTAGAAAATGAAATCGTATTGTAATTGTAATCAGTTTTAAGTTAGTGTATTTTTTTGAAGGTAATATTAATACTTTTTTTTAGCTGCCCCTGACGGCAATTTCTTTTTTTTTTCACTTTAATCAAAAACCGCAAATTAAAGCAAATGTTTACAGGTCGTGTCCTAGACGATCCATTTCGTTAAGCAAGAAGTCCACATCTTTTTCAGTCACCGCCGCCGAAGAAATAATGTTCCTAAAAAAGTTTGGACGTCTGTCGTCGGGTTGATAGCCCACCATTAAAGTGCCGGATTGCATCATCCTAGCCTTTAAAACTGGACACATCTGTAACACAAACCCATCGTTCATTAATAAAACAAATAAAAATTCATTTTTACTCGCCTTTCCGAGTTCCTGCTCCCTGTGTTTACTGTGGCTCATGTTGCGCAATCTCGTAGGTATGTACCAGAATGACACGTTGACCATTTCCGGCTCCATGATCAAATAAAATTTGTCGGGTTGATCTTTGATCCTTTTCACCATGTATTCCGACAGTTCCATCAGCCGATCCATGTGTTTTTCGAAACCCTCGTCGCCCTGTACATTGTCGATGATAATTTGAAAATCGATTGAAATGCCACCGGGCTATTTGAATGTGAGAAGCCCAAAAGCTCTTACGTCCCCAGTGGCGCAATTGGTTAGCGCACGGTACTTATAAGACAGTAGTCGTGAGCTATGCCGGGGTTGTGAGTTCGAGCCTCACCTGGGGAATAACTTTTTTTTCTTAATAAGAGAAAGCGTTGGTCGGACACCTTGGCGGATTTGGCAACGGCGCATTCATCGGGCTACCTATCGGATCAAGTCAGCTTAACGCGTTGCCTAGAGATTAAAATAAAACGCTGACATTTATATCAGAAATATAATGCAGTTCATTGTATAAGCGGTTGCCTATGCGTAGGGTACGCAGAACACCAATGCAATCAATACCGCAGTGTTAGTTCAAGTTGTTTAGGGCTCTGTAGTCAAACCTCTATTAGTACAGGCAAGATCACTATATATTTGAATATTATATAGTTGGCATACAAACTATAATAAATTAATTGGTATTTTATAGCAAAGCACGGTAACGTACACGGCGGATAGGTAGATTTTAACTGTGATCGTAAAGTGACCCCCAGCTGTACAACGGTAGACTAAAGTTTATTATGGTTAATTATTTCAAAGTATACAAGGTGGCTCAAAGAAACCCGTCGATTTTGTTTTTAATTTGTTTGGAAATTATCTAAAACCTAATAGATTCTCCAAATACACTAGGTAGATCACTCATATTTGATATTAGTGTCATTCATACATAAATCATATGAATTAAGCTCTAGGATAATCCATAGTTATTTTTTTTTATTTACGAAATAATGAAAAACTCTAGAGTTTCGTAAGATCTTTCAGGAAAGAAAAAAATGTTTTTTTTTATAACTTTTGAAACCAATGAGATAATTAACTTTGACGGAACCAAAAAATTACATAAAACCACAAAATTCCGTTTATTTAATATTGCTGGTTTTCGCAAGTTAAAAATTAAGTCAATAGAGTTGAATATACTGAAGTATAATATGTAAAACGGCGTTCTTTTGAACATATCCCTTATTTACATAACTGTAAGAACTAAAGCAATTTTACATAATAAAAACTGTGTTTATTTTAGGGAGATCGAGATTATTTATTATTATTACTTGTGGCAATGGTATAAAATTTATATAAAACTTATAAACTAAATAACAATATAAAATTCAAAACGTGGTAAATAGATTAAATTAAACAAATCGCGCTTCAGAGGTACCAATTTATTCGATAACTGAACTGAGGTGTCTTTTAGGTGCTGAAAATGTATTTAACACAGTTAAATTAGTACATGTAGTGCCGACCTCAGTTACATGGTCAGGATATTAAAGGAATAATATGATAAGGTAAGATTGGAAATAAACTTGAAGAAAACAATGTACATGACAACGACGGAAGAGAATGCAGTCAATTTACCAATAGAGGACACCATTGAAATAAACAGCTTCATATACTTACGATTTATACTGTCTAAAAATGCTACTACAGATCAAGAAATAAAGAATAAGGTTGGACAGACCCGATCATGTATCCAACAACTCCATTGAATTATATCGGAAAAGAACCTCAAGAAAAAAATGAAAACGTTAATATACGACGCCATTGTAAAGAGTATAATGACATATGCAGCAGAGGTGACGGTAATAAATAAAAACTATAAAAGGAAAATCCTAGCTACCGAGTTGCAAAAGAAGAAATCAGAATAAGAATGGCCGTGCAAGACCAAAAGACAAACAGCCTTTATCCGACACTGCATTTGTTGCATTCTTCGACCTATAGTATCATCTCTTTCATCCAATATCGAGGCAAATATATCAATATTAATAGAACAAAACAGATATTTAAATATTTGGCAACAAAGAACGAAAAATTTCTGTAAAATCCACTATATATGTAAACTGTAGGATTACCAACTATACGGTACTTCTGCACAAGATCTTTTAATAAATTTTTCTTTATAGCATGATAACGGTGGTCGCACATCTAGGACATTCATCACCTACCTTGGCTCTCCATTGCAGCCACAATTTAAAAATATCGTTGTGGCGTCCGCACTGTATAACCTTGTCGCCCGTGTCGTACTGTATGTCGTAGAGTTTGTCTTGCATGAATAGGTAGTCGGCAGCCATTTGGTTACAGCTCATTAGCAATCCCTGAGAACAAAAGCATTTTCCATGGGGAAAAATATAAAATGATCTCCTTTATCTTCCCAATATTGAGTCTATATTGATAATATAAGGTTGTTCGGAAAGTCATTTCGTTTTATCCCGTCAGAGGACTTAATTACGTTTTTTCGAAACCAACTTCACACTTAAGCCGCATAACCATTATATGTCTTGAGAGCTGATATTGCAAGGCTTGTGTGTGAAAAAGTTCTATTAATTCTACGCAGTAGTTTTTGGTTGGTGCCCTTTTAAATATGGAGAGCAATAAGCAGCATTTTCGTCATATTTTACTTTTTTACTTCAGAAAAGGTAAAAATGCTGTCCAAGCGAGAAAAAAATTGACGGATGTGTATGGAGGAGGCGTGTTAACAGTACGCCAGTGCCAGAACTGGTTTGCAAAATTTCGATCCGGCAATTTTGATGTCGAAGATGCACCACGGTCTGGAAGGCCGATCGCAGCTGACAAAGATGCGATAAAGGCATTAGTTGATGCAAATCGGCGAATAACCACACGAGAGATCGGTGAGAGATTAAATTTGTCGAATTCGACTGTTTATGGCCATTTGAAAGGCATGGGCTTAACCTCGAAGCTCGATGTGTGGATGCCCCATGTCCTTACGGAGCGAAATTTGTGTCGTCGCGTTGACGTGTGTGATTCGCTCCTCAAACGTCAAGAAAATGATCCATTTTTGAAGCGGATTATTACTGGGGACGAAAAATGGGTTGTATACAACAATGTTAAACGCAAGAGGTTCAAAGCGTGTCAAAAGCCAACATTCACCAAAAAAAGGTGATGCTCTCCGTTTGGTGGGATGTCAAAGGAATCGTTTTATTTGAGCTTTTGCCGGACAATACAACGATTAATTCAGAAGTCTATTGTCATCAACTGGACAAATTGAATGATTCACTTAAAGAGAAGAGGCCCGAATTAATCAACAGGAAGGGTGTAGTGTTCCACCAGGATAATGCGAGACTTCACACAAGTTTGGCCACTCGCCAAAAACTTTTACAGCTTGAATGGGACGTACTGCAACATCCACCATATTCTCCAGACCTGGCGCCTTCCGACTACTATTTGTTCCGGTCCCTGCAAAATTTTTTGGATGGCAAAACCTTTACCTCAAATGAAGATGTCAAAAACCACCTGAACCAGTTTTTTGCCAGCAAGGACCAAAACTTTTATGAGAGGGGAATTATGTTACTGCCAGAAAGATGGCAAAAGGTGTTGGACCAGAATGGCCAATATATAATTTAATAAAATATTTATTCATTATGCGAAAACTGTCTTTCATGTTCCCCAAAAAAAACGAAATGACTTTCCGAACAACCCAATATATTGTAAGTGGGTATATCTGGCCAATATTTTCAACATATGAGAGGAATGTTGGTCCTGTAATGATAGAACATATTTGTGAATAAGTTATATTTGTATGTAGTATTTATCCATTATTATCCCGATATTTATAAAAACACATCTGAAATTAATAAATTTTGTTATTCTGCTTAATATTCCTTTTGATAGATACGTATTTCTAGCCAGTATTGGTAAAATATGTTTGTGCTTAAAATATTGGTCCAGCAGTGATAAAACGGATATGTTTATCCAATATTGGTTAGTTAATTGGTTGGTTAATTTATTAGATGGGCCCTTATAGGTTGTACCATAGGAGATGTACAGGGTTATTCCGTATATTTAGGAAAGGCTTATTGCAAAATTTATAGGGTTTTGTCAGTACTATCTTTTAAAGTTATACGATCAAACAAAATCGCATCGGAAAATTGGAAAACAAACAACTTTAACTTGTTTGTGTTTCACCTTGGACGTTTACGGTACATTCGGTTGTTCTGAAAATTTGATTAGCTCCAATGCTTTAGTGATTCAGTTCGAAAGAGCTCTAAAATTATGTGATAATGTGCAGGGCGTTCCTTTTACAAAATATATACTTTTCACCATTTTTGTGTCTTGTAGACCAATAATTAGTTTGGGCCAACCCTGTATAACATAGAACAATTTCCATATTAAGAAATAATGTTCAATACCTCCGTAACCTACGTCCAACATTTTAACTTTGTACTGGCTCCAGTGTCGTGGTAATAAAATTTTTATTGAAGTAATGTTTTGTTCCGAACGAAAACGAAAATAATTATTTTCTCGAAAATCGCTGAATATAGGAACGTATTACTCAAAAACAATCATACTTTAAGCGCTTTAAGATGGTGTTCCATTTGAAATTTCAACAATGGAACAAAAAGTATCTTCCATTTCAGTGCCTAATATACAGGACGTTTCATTAAAAAATCCACCAAGCTTGCAATTTTCACTGACTTTGCTATGACTATGCTGACTTGGCAATAACAATTTGTCGCATTTCAAGTTTTTTCTTATCTCTTATAATAAACGCAGTAGGCGCTGTCTAAATATAATAACCCTGTACAATATCCAGTATTATTCCAATATTCCATTAACTTCACTTATGCGTTAGTACATCACAATGAACATTTTTAAAAATAATATGTTTTATAAACAAATACAATGTATAATAACGGCATCGAACCAATATTGGTCAAACGTGTATTGCCGATGTTTGATTAGATGTAGTAAAGGGTCAAGCACCAACCTTTGGTTTTATTAATTTTTTGTTGCAGTAGCGAATCAGTCGTATTGGTAGAACAAACTGATCTCATTCAATTTTTTGATCAAATTTTGGATTCTCTTATGGAAAATCTGCGACAGATTTTCCAGATTTTTAGATGTGTAGTAGCTCTTGATGCTCTAATTAAAAGCTACCACTGGTCGAACCTTGGCAAGTGGATAGTTTAACACCCAGTGGACGCCAGGGTTTCTTATATAAGTTTCCCAGTAGTACAGAAATATTGGCAAGATATTTTATTTGCATATTGGTCCATATGTAAAGTATTATTGTGCCAATATATGAATAATATGTGGCGCCTATATAAAAAATAAATCTTCCAACAGTCTAAAAAACGCACACATTGAAAATGTGTAAATATAATACTTTACCAATATTTTTGTGCTACTGGGGTCATGTTCTTTAAGTCGATTCAATTGGGCAGGTTTACTTACATCTTCCTTGAAGTGAATCGTAGAACATTGGAGCAGAGCGCCCATCAGCTTATGAGGGTTCCAAGTGACCGATTGGGCTCTGAAATGAACCATAAAGATAAATATTATATTATGCAACAAGTGTGGTATGGTATGTTCATAGATATAAGAAAGTGACCAATTGCTTTTGAATGGGATTATCCAATGGTGGTCATTAACATACAATGCAACAAGATTATTATCTAAAGTTTCGGAATTTAAATTCAGGTAAAATTGTGGTCCGTAATAGAAAATAATTTTATACCTACCTGTATTTAATATTCTTTGGTTTGGTATACTACTTAGTTTAAGTTTATTAGTAATCATTCTTATTTCGTGTGTAATAGACGATTCAACGTGTGCGAATTATACAAAATAAGTGCCAATCTAGTGTATCTCAATGTAGAAATGTAGAAAACACTATTCTATTGAGACTAAGGAAGTTATAAACAATGGGTATTCGACTCTCAATGAACGTGGTGCCAGTAAGCAAGCATCTTTAGAAGAAACGGCTACATTGACAAAAATTCCAACATCACTGTATGGAAAATTTTGAATAATACCATTTCAGCGAGGAAAAAAGATATAATATGGCGTAAAATTTACCAGTTATACGAGGAATAAAGCGTGCCTACATAGATAACTTAATTAGTTTAAAAAAGATGAAACCGGTGTTAAATGTGGCAGAACTACCTTATGGAAGTGTATTCAACACATGGGTTTTAGATTTAAAAAAATTGACAAAAGGCAAGTTTTAATGGAATATTTTAGAATTCGAAAATGGCGACTGGAATATCTAGATAAAATTAGGATTTAAAGAGAACAAAGGCCAATTATTTACTTGGATGAAACTTGGTTCGACACTTATGATACCCCGGAAAAGGGTTGAGTTGACTCAACTGATGAGTGTAAAACAAACGCGTCATCAAAAAGAGGTAGATTTATTTGAAAGTTGGTTTAAAAACAAACTAGTTCGAAACATTCCTCCTAATAGGGTCATTGCAATGGACAATGCAAGTTATCACAGTAGACAGTTGACTAAAACCCCTTCCTCATGTGACACAAAAGCAACAATCCAAATCTACATGTATAATAACGACATTTACTTTCACGGAGATTATACCAAAAAGTAATTAATTGAGGTTCTACAAAGGTTGAACCTACAAGAGGAATACGTCTGTGATAATTATGCAAAAAATCTAGGGCATATAGTTTTAACGCTTCCACCTTAACACTGTATATTTAATTCCATTGAACATGTTTGGCACCAACTGAAATCTGCCATTCCTCGTAACAATGTTTTCCCCGTGTGAACTATAATGTCCTCAAACTTATAGAAACCGATGTTTTTAACATCCGTCCACAAAGTTGGGCAAATTCTGCAAATTATTGCAAATAATATAGAACAAATAATAATTAGAACAGGTGAAGATAGCGATAGTGATACTGATATATTATGTAAATAATTTTAAGTAATTTAAGTTGGTAATAAACATAATTTGTAATTTTATTTTAGATTTAAACATAAATACATACATAAATCAATAAATATTGTTTAGTATCTTTCCTAACAAAACTCCAAATAATTAAATTCTAAGCAAGGGCCTGTTCGGCCATATTTCATTCTTACAGCTTGCCCGGGTCTTTCCTTAATTCGTATCAGTTAGTCACCTTCTTATATCTATGAACAGACTTTACAGAGTGAAATGCGAGCTAGTTTCAGTCAAGCTCTGAAGAAGCCAACAGGATGATGGGCGAAACGTCAGCAATTTCGACTCAGCAAAAACCAACCCAGGAGGAATCCAGAAGTTTTGTAAAAAGTATACAGCAATATTAAAAGCAGCGCATTTTTAACTTTAATCCTAAATGACAAGCTACAAGCAATAAAACGGCCATAGGTTTTGCCCTTTTCCCCGCATCCACCTATCGTTTCGCAAATCCCGGTAGAAGTCAATTTTTTTACATATTTTTTTCTCGACCTTACTTTCCCTCCCGCAGCGAAGTAAATCTGTCTCGCAAAAAATACGACCCGCGGGTAAGCCGTAAATTACCCCCACATTAAAACCACAATTATGACCTTGACAGTGCTGAAATTAATTACGGGGGTCATTAATCAGCAGCGCTGCCTAAAAACGGCCTCCAAACAGATGGGGTCGCATTTAAATAGAAGCCAACTATTATTAATTTCGGAATGTTTAGGGGAAACCCGAATTTAAAGCTCGCTAGGGTTGGCGTATGGACAATTAGAGGTTATTTCCGCTCGGATTACGCCGTATAAAGTGTACGGGGTGTCCCACGCAAGAGCCCACATCCTTCCCGTGAGTCAATGATAACCTAAAGTTGGTTTTCAAAGTTATGAGAAAATGGTAAATACAAAAGTCGGAAAGATCGTTCGGATGCACAATTCAAAATTATTTTTCAGTATACAGGGTGGCTCAAAAAAGCTCAAACACCCTACTTTAATATGTTGTTTTAAATTAATTAAATTAAAAAATACAGTGAAACTCTGTGTAACGTAAGACTATGTAATACGAACTTTCACCGAAAGTGTGGCAAACATTAATAAATATAAAAATTTGTACGAATAATAGCGATTCCCAATGATATTTTTCCAATCTCTCGTTTGAGTTTTAATCTTCTCCTGAAGATGCCAAACTCGCGTCGGCTACGTAAAATTGAGTTTCGGTTTGTGGTAAAACGCGTTATTGTGTGATATTTTTCCAAATATCCTGTATGATAGACCACACCAATATAGTTTATGATACTGTTCAACCCAAATTATCCCATGTTTTATAGTTTTTCAGGTCTACAAAATTACAAAATTAAACTTTTTGATAGATGTTTTTATTTTGAAAACTAATTTTATATCATTGTAATAGGACAATTTCATAAGGTTTTTTTGGAAATATTAAAGATTTTTTTATTCAGTAAAAAAGCGGAATCCTAGTTAATTGTGTTTTGAAAATTCTTAATGTTCTTATCTGCGGCTCAATAAAAATACCGTCTTTCATCTTGGCATCATATTTGGCTGCAAATTTCTTGCACAAATATTGTCCATTTTTGTTTATGGCTTTGGTATGAAGAGAAGGCAGTAAAACGGATTTGTTATTGTTATCGCACAATCCTTTTTTACTGTGTCGTGAGTGTCGAACCACGTCTCGTCTAAATACACTATTTTGCTCTCGAACTTTTTCCATTGCGAAATTCTTTGAGATTACATTTGGAACCGAAAATCCATTTTCTTCAAAAAAGTATGCAACGACTCTTTGGCGAAACTGATGTTTAAGTATATCATTACTTTTGTATGCAGTCCTTCAAGGGTTAAAACACTATTCACTTCATAAGTGTCGTAGATTATACGTCTAATTAGATTAGTGATTTTAAATAGCTCAATTCAAAAGACCGAAAGAATTTTCCTATAAATATCAATTTGGTTGCCCGCTGTGACGCCACTGGGACGACCAGTTTTATTCAAAGAAGCCATTTATTACTGCAACTAAGCATGTCGAGTTTAATCAAAATCAGAAAAAAGGTTTTTGAATAATTAATGAAAAGTTGCTTTTTTATAAAAATTTGGACACTTTCGTGTTCTCAACTGTACTTGTTCAGCGATAGTGCAATAGAGCAAAGTACAGAAAGTTCAAAATTCTTCTCTTCGTCTCAAATACAGAGTAAAAATGCCTTTAGTTTGTTTTATCACTGAGTATTGTGTCATAAAATCCATATTTTCATAGTAGAATATTTTTCAGTATTATTTTTGAAAAAATAATTTTATATAAAGCCAGACCTCATTCTTTACTGTTCACTCCTCTTCAAAAAACTACCCCAATGGCAACGATTTTTCTCGCAGTTGACTCGGAACTTTGGTTAGTTTATTTTTGAATTTAATACAAAATTGTAAACATTAAAAACAATTTGTTTAACATCCGAAGGAATCGGTTTTTTGATTTGCTGAGGCAGTTCGTCGTCTAAATTGTCATTAGGTTCGACTACCATCTCCACTTCATCTTCAAAATGTGCGTTGTTTGCCATGTCTTCTTCTATCAGGGGAATATCTGCTTAATTCTACCGTATTCACATATTAAAGCGTTAAAAAACCTTCAAAAATGTTTAATTGTAAGATTCTAATAAATATGTAATCTTATGTACCTTTATCTACTGCGAATATAATCTATAGTCCTAAAAAAGAATCGAAGAACTAAGTAGAAGACACAAAAATACAAGAAGAATGTTGTTAATCGACAGACACACAAGACCAAAATGATTATTTTCAGACTTACCCTTTAAACTGTCCAGCAAAGCTCGACAATTAGGTACATAAATACGTACTTACTGGAAGGATCACAGTTCGTAATATATACGAACATATTGCAATTTAGATTAAACTCTTAAGAAAAAATTCCAGCATCAACTCTATGAAAAAGTTCAGCGAGGAAAAAAAGAAGCGATGCTGACATTTTCTCGAGTGTAGGTGAAAGTGATCAAGATATAATATGGCGTAAAATTTACCAGTTATACGAGGAGCAAGGCGTGCCTACATTAGATATCTTAATTAGGAGGCTTGAAAAAGATGAAACCGGTGTTAAATGTGGCAGAACTACCTTATGGAAGTGTATTCAACACATGGGTTTTAGATTAAAAAAAAATTACAAAGGGCAAGTTTTAATGAAATCTTTTAGAATTCGGAGATGGCGACTGAAATATCTAAAAAAAATTAGAGAACAACAAAGGCCAATTATTTTCTTGGATGAAACCTGGTTCGACACTTATGATCCCCGGAAAAGAGTTAGGTTGACTCAACTGATGAGTGTAAAACAAACGCACCATCAAAAAGAGGTAAAAGAATAACTATTTTTCATGCTGGCTCTAAAGATACTTGGATTCCAAATGGACTTTCTCTGTCTGCGAAAAATATTAAAGATTCTTCTCTGGATTACCATGAAGACACCACCGCTGATTTATTTGAACGTTCGTTTAAAAACAAACTAGTTCCAAACATTCCTCCTAAGAGCGTCATTGTAATGGACAATGCAAGTTATCACAGTAGACAGTTGACTAAAA